TTCAGTATTGTGAATGCAAAATTGATCAAATATAATGATTAAATCGCTTTTAACATAAATATTGTTTACAAATCAATTATTTTAGTACAAACAATAAACTCAATTAACATTTACCTATACTATCTGTACTAATAATAATATCTATCTATACTAATAATTAAGCTGAAAACTATTACTTTGTTTTGTCGAACTCTTTAATCTCTGGAACTACTTGAACGAATTGAATGATTTATTTATTTGTGTTGTATAGTCAATTTATATAAGAAGGCTATAACATCACGCTATGACTTCTAGGAACAGTGCAGCAATGAAAAATGTCATAAAATTAAAAAAAAAGTATTTTCACTTTTATTGATTGTACGTGGTATCTCAGGGGTCTGAGCGTGGTATAGTCGACATTGTTAAAATCGACGCGGTCTTTTGGTTAAATAAAATAAGTGATAAAAACAAAACCCATTCAATCGGAGGTATGAAAAAAATATTCCCACTCGCTACCAATTGGAGTTCCGTTCGAAGGACTGGGAATACCCCCTAACAGGCACCATTTTTTAATTTCTTTATTTCAGGAAAATTGATATAGTCACAAAATTATGAGACTTCGATTTGAGTACATAGAATATTACATAGTACATAGTGGTTACCAAGATCCCTTAGGTACGTTATTTAGTTCATTTCCAACAAAAAAAATGCTTAATGTATGGGATATCCGATCCATATTAATAAATTGGAATATCTGTTCTTACCAAAAGCATATAAGACTTCAACATTCTTATATAAAACTAGCGGCTAGGCACCATTTTGAGAACAGAAATACATATATTTTTCTATAACCGCATTAAAATTCGTTACGTAGTTTAAAATATTCGTTATCTAGGCAACGACATATGTAGACGAGACCTGAAGTTAGTACGTGATTCAAGCTTTGGTTTAAACCAGCTTTTCCAAAGTGGGCGATGCAGGCTAAATTAAGATCCCAAATTATTCAAACAAGATAAAATTAATTAAAGGCCGATTTATTATTTCATATATTGATTTATTGCTTTTTTCTATATTATAAACAATTCGTTGAAACATTATTTAATAAATCTCTCTAAGAGAACATTAGATTCCTACTTGGCCGCATAGGAATACACACAATACTTATTTTAAACAAAACTACATAAAAATCATCAGTGGAATGTGAGAAACGTGCCAAAATGATATTTCTATAACAAAGTTTTAAATTAAAAAAAAAACACTTTAAAAGTACCATTTTATGCACTTTGACATTTCACTGACGAAATAATACCGATACAAATACGGAAATAATAAAAAATAGTCAAACATTAACATATAAATATTTTTCAAAACAAGAAATTACATTGTAAAAGTTCTAATAATTTAAATACTGATTATTGTCGTATTTTTTAATTTATAATTTTTCTCTGTCAGCTTTGTTTCGCTAGATAAGTATGTATACTTTATAAAATGTACAGTAAATAAAAACAATGTTAGCGACCGACTGATTTTAACTTAATGTAATTTTAATATCAGATCAAATTAGTGCATACTTACATACTAAATATGGTTGGCAATACCTATTACATAGCAAATTGAACTCAATTTTGTGCATTATTCATTGTACACAAATTGTGATATGGTAACTAAATTTATTACTATTTCATCAACATTATTTTCGAGGTGATCTTATGTTGAAAACCATTAAAAAAAATTACCTTACACAAAGAGACATTGAATACACTAGAATGAATATGCCGCATCGTATTTCGGACCAACATCCTATTGCAAGTACAGCCAATTTTCTGACTGATGACTTTTAACAACTAACATAATTCCATTAAATATTCAAAAATATAAGTTTCTTTAATGAAACATTTGAACACTGTTACTAAACTGTTTAGCTATATAGACAATTACATTTGTAATTAGATATAAAACTTTAAATCATATAACAATCCAAAAAGCTGTACTACTACATTGCAATATCTTAATTATTGTTTGGAACTATATTTACATAAATAAAAACGGCAGCGATACTCCTCTCCTGGTATATTTTTCTAGTGTACTCAAAGTAAATATTATCAACATAATTAATAAAATATTCAACATCCATTATAAAAAGTAAAACTCGGTATTTATGGAGACAAAAAAATGAAATTGAAAACAAATACTTTATACACTGATTGGGCGGAACACGCTAAACAGTCACCTATTTAAAATTCATGAAAAATGATAGCTAAAAACAACCCGGTTAATTTAAAAAATAAAAATCTATTTCATAAACAGAGTGCCTATATAAAAACGACAATCGCTATGTTAATAATAAACCCAACAGGCGTGTCATACACGATAAAGTAAATATAATACTTAATAAATAAAACATACAGAAGCATATCAGTCACCATAAAATAATAAATAATCGCAATTGATTTAAAACTTTACAATCGATACGTTAAGGCTTTAAATTGATTGAAGAATGTAATAAGATTTTCTTAATATTGGAGCTGCTTGTCACATTCCATTTTTTGGATTTGTATTGAGTTATATAACTGTTTTTCGACCGTCTTTCTACACTTCACTGTAAATTGACTTTTAAATAGTCGACAGTACATTGGCTTTACTCAATCAGCTAAGCTTCTCCAATCAATTTTAAACCATAATTTATTAACAGTTAAGTTCAAAATATATTGCAGATATTTAACATCTTGTAGTAACATGACGTATTGCTGTGTATTTTTCAAATAAAAAAAAATTACTTGGTACTCAAAATGTAACGCTACGAATTCGTCAGTTTCAAAATCGTAAATTCGCTGCATCAAAGAAAGCTCAATAAGCGTTATTATTAACATAAACCATATCAAATCTCTGTACAAAAACCTAAAACTAAATGTGCTGTGTTTGTACCGTGAGTATATTAGGAAATAAAATCACACGGAACCTTGTCCATTATTTTAATTTCTGATATAAAAAATACACAAATAAATACAGAAGACTTAACTTTGACAAGGTACTATTTCACACCGTAAATAATATACAAGATATTTTCACCTAATTGTATAACTTTCATTACGTACATATATAGACGGTATATTCAACTGAAAATAACGTCGTCAATATAAAGCCTCGATAAACTTTAATATCAATGAGATCGCAATGTCATATCCAGGAATAATAAGTTACAATTTTAAAAGGTGCCGGTATCAATTTTAATCAGCCACGAAAGACTTATAGATAGTTTCCTATAGACTGTTTTTTTTTTCAGATACAGGAAAATCATTATGTTACTCTGTCAATTACACGTCATTATTAAATTATGATAAATATCTTTATCTAACTTTGTATGTAATTAATTATAGTACAATAAAATTAAACCTAAAAAAAAAAAGTTGCTTAAAACTTATTACATTGAAATGGGGCTTTTGATATACGTTTTTAGTAAAACAAAATACACAATACAATCACTGTTTATCTTTAATATAGTTTTCAATTATATTAGACAACCACTTTTGGCACTATAGTAACGGACAGTGCTTGATGTTGTAAATATAATACGTATCAGTAGCAGAAGACGGTTCTAATTCGATTGTACGTGTTGTATATTACGACTACATTTTAACTATACTGTAATATATTAATATTCAAGATCACAATTTTCTAATACCATTATTAAATAGAGTACGTCTCGCATATCTAAACAACCAATTCATACTGTTTATTTTTATTATTAACGAAAATAAAGGATGGAATAGATCCAATATGATTATTTTTATAATCACGTGATCTTCTCAAGTTTTAGGCCCAGTTTCACAAAATCCCTAGTTACTTACTTCTGGTTTATTTGACAATGGAACAGATTTTATAGGATATACTATCCGTGTGCTATTGGAACTTAATGGAAATAGTCTAAACTTTCAACAACTCCGTCGGCATGTTACCTTATGAGAATAATTGTGTCAAAAACACAAATATTATTTTTATAGGTTCTAGGTTCTTATTAATAAAATTAATGTTTTCAATATATTTCCAATTGGCCTAAGTGATATACTCAAACAATGAAATAGATTAACATAAAATAAATAATAATAATTGATTAATTGCAATATTAGTCCTGCCAAATAACAACCATAATAACTACTTGATAGTTATTTTTAAATGCAAAAAAAAATACCACCTACATTTTCTCAAGACCTGCAATCGAATGTTTACTACATTTATTACATTGTTAATGAGTAAGATTTTTTTCAAGTACCGAAAACGAGCCCAAATCATCCCTATTCAGATTTCAATATTTTTTCTGTCCCGTACACTTCTAATAGCATGTAAGGAGAATCGAAGCAATTCCTCCTCTTCTATCTCATGATTCTCTTAAGATGTATAGACTATTAGCATTTCCAAATATCGTTACGATTTTCTGGCGTTATTTCTTTTTTTTGGAAAATATAATTGTATCTTTCTGTTCTCACAGTCTAAAGAATTTGTAACTTAGTAGTTGTCGTTATACGAGTTATAATATCGTTATATAAGAGTCGCCACCTAATTACATACATTAAAATCTCCGAAAAACTACTCAATCAGACTATTTATTAGACAATTTGTAATAAACCACTATGATTATATATAGAGTTCTACAAACATGCACGTGTAAATTGACTATACAAAACATGATTATTATTTCACCTATAATACAATATAATATAAACATCTATAAACATAACAAGGATTGACTGTTGTAACACATTTACTAAAGATCCCCAAGGACCTGTTACTCTACGACGATGTGTCAAGAATTTAAATTATATATTTTTAGTTATTTCTATACATTTAATTATTATTTGTAGTGAATATAAAATTAGGCCAAGTTCAGAATAAGCTGATAAAATTAAAGATTATAAAAAAATAAAATTAAAAAACTAATATCAACAAATTTTAAATATTTCATAGTTTTCGGCCTTTTTTGAGTTGTTTCATTAAAATATAAGTATGCCAAGTTATCCAAAATTCTATGACACATCGTCATCCACCAATATTGCACCATTACCACAAATATCTGTTAAAAGATTAAAAAGTATGTATAGTCGAACGCGATAAGACACAGCTGTAAAAGCTTCGAGCTCGCGCGTCACTAGCACCAAGACCGTGGCATCTACACGTTTAGACCAATTCTGAACACTTACGTTGTTATCGCAAACGAAACTCGAACTGCTAACGAAGCACCGATGAAATTATAAAATAAAGGGTATAGAAAAGATTCGACATTTCAATATGATTTCCACAAACCTTTAATCGCTTTTAATTTCGGCGACTTTTTAGTAGCTTCCAACTCCTGCTTGAAGCTTGTGAACTTGTCCCGTAAACTCCGACGCGGGGTCGACGGCTTCAATAGGAACTTTTTTAGGTCATTAGTGAAACTCTTCGCCGTGTAATCAGTTCCGTCTTTCGATTCATCGTCGCCAGACTCGAGGAAAGTGACCGATTTGAGGGACTGTACAGAGTTTTTTCGCTCGCGGGGTACACTTCGAGGGGTGGATTTCGAGCGAGACTCTTTAATTGATGCTTTAGAATCGGCACACGTAGATTCGTCGTCGACAGAGTCCAAAGTGTCTGTGGAACGGGCGCATACCCTGCAGCAGAACCGGCAATGTTTCGTCTCGTCTGGCGCGCAACGTTCGCATTTCTTATATCGAACGACGCGTTTCGGCTTCTTCTCTTTTCTGTTTCGCTGTTCAGTTTTCCTCGATCTCTTGCGCTCGCACTTAGGACAGTTGTGTCTAGCGATGCGACGGAGTTCTTTGAGAAACTCGTAGTCTATTTCAAAATAATCGCCGGCGTCGGGTTCGGAATAGTATCGTCTATCTCTGCATCGGCCGCAGACGGAGGGCGGGGGACGTGGGGCGGCGGGCAGGGGTCAGGCCTGCACTGATGGCACCCAAAGTGTTTTATTCTGTTCCTCTTCGACAGCCTCCTTAATTTGCGTACACATATATGCGATGTTCACGCCCGCCGGTATTTCGGCTGTGAACAAATTAAAATAGCAACGAAACGAATAGATATGCATTTGTAAAGCTATATAAAAAGTACAGGAAGGAAACTATTCTGATGCCATCGTTGTTTCTATTTTTAATAACCGACACCTTGTCGCACTTTTGATGTTTTTTTTTCTAGAACTAACTTAACGAAGAATATTAGATGCTACTCATAAAAACGAACGAATGTGAAACAGAGAATTTGTAGGTATATAAAACCGCAAGACAGATGATTAATCTAAAAATAGATACCCTGAGTTTTAACCTGCTAGCAACTGCTAAATACAAAAAGTTATCATGTTTTTAATAAACCCACCTGAGATATAATTCCTATACTCGTTCTCCACCTTAAGGCCGTGTTCGTACATCTCTTTGGCGGCCTTCGCGGACACTTTATCGGCCGGGTACCGTGTGTCTTTCACCTCTTTGATTTGCTTAAACGACTTGAACTTTATGAACAGAACTATCGGGTAGATCTGTTGTTTATGAAGCTTCTCGATTGTCGATACACTTATGTCTAAGATGCAGTGAATGCCCTGCAAGAATGTTTTTTAAACCACATTATTATAATTACTTGGATTAAAAACTAACAAATATGTGACCACTGTACTCCTGTATGTTAAAATTTGATAAGTTCAATTCTATTCTCTTAGTTATTTTCATAATTGAAAAAGCCATGTTAACCTGAAGTAGGCGAGTCTAGGCAACAAAATTGCTACCAGTATACGAGTAGATTTTGCTGTTTGCCACTCGAGTTATCAATGATTGAGGTATAATACTGGTAAATTAAAATCTTACATTTTCCCCATTTTATCCTACTTAACGGTCTCCTGGGATTAAAGCACGCGGGCGAAGTCGCTAGCGGAACGCTAATAATAGGTAATTAAAACAATGTCAAGTAACTAACTTTCATTAATATACATTATCATGGCGATGCAAGATAATAACTAAAAGATAAAACTAATAAAAAATTATAAAAACTTTAAAAGTATTCTGTAAAATCTGACGGATACATATTACACTATTAGCAGCTTTCCCAAAATACCTTCTCGGCCCGTTCCCTGATGGCATGTAACGGCAAATGGTCGGGCGCAGTACGCGGAGGGCGGGCGGGGGCCGCGGCAAATACGTGGGGCCAATCCGACACAAGCTTGCCCACCACGCATTCCCATAATGGGCCCAGCACCACAACAGGACGGTGGTTGCCGTCTGACAAACAAACATTTTAAAAATACAGACTGTTCAAAAATATATTTCAACTATTTGATGAAGAAGAAAAAGAAGCTCAACTGTTTTGTTTTTCTATATTTCTATTGTTTTTGTTGTTGTGTTATATGATACTAGAAGACTGACTTGAAGAAGTGGTTGACAGTTGTTTGTCATAAAATGAACTAGACTCAAAATAGGGATTTTACCGGTGTTCAAATAAAAACATGCTTTTGATATATATCTCAAGTATTCAAATCAATATTTAATGAAAAAAACACCAATGAGAGTGTAAGACGTCGCTAGTTCGCAAACATTAGAACCGGATCTATGGAAATGATACTCAGTCAAAAAAGTAGCACTAGCTTCATCTCCGCCCCGTTACTAATTCTGCTTTCTAAGTTCCAATGCTAATAAAAGCTGTAGTCATTCATATTTAAATTATTAAAAACCATAATATTATAAAGGGGTAATGTTTCTTACTTTGTTTATTTGCATATGGTAAGTTATCTTAAGAAATACTGTTCCGATCATGCAATTTCTTTCACCCACTAGATGCTACATCATACTCGAATGCTATAGACAAAAACATAGGTGGGCAAAGACGCGAAAGCAGCTAGTTAAGTGATAAAAACTTGATAAGAAGAGTTAAACACACTTCTTCAAAGATAGTCACTATCCCGTTATAAGTTCGCTAAGTAAATAACCTATCAATATATAGCATAAAACAAAGTCTCTACTCTCTGTCAGTACGCCGATATCTTTTAAACTACACAACGGATGCTAATGCAGTTTTCAACAACATACAGTGTAATTAAAGAGGTAGGTTTACATATATACAAGACCACACGGGCAAAGTCGCTGGCAAAAAGCTTAAAGTATACAATAAGTAAGTAATACAAGGAAAGAAGAAAAGATAAAGAAATAATTTATGATACTAACAGTGCAATCTGTCCACGCGCTGATAGGACAGTAGCGGTGGATCATCAGCGAGCGCGCCAGAGTCACTCCAACAGCCGAGCTCAGTATTAGAGAAAGACGCTAGCTCTTTGCTATCTCGGTGCTTCTTGCGTCGGAAAAACGATCTCCGAGCAGTAGTTGCCGCGCGACGTTGTGCTTCACTCTCTATGCTTCCCATTGATCGCCTCAGAATCTCTTCGACTCTGCATAATATGGCGAACGTCATTAAACCGTACGTTTATTATTGTTTATTATATGTTTATTACGTTTATTATAGTTTTGTATTAAAATATTCACATTTTATTTAAATTTTCTCTAAAATACAACCGAATCGAATGTGTAATTTTTATGAGAGAGGTGATAATATTATCAAAATTCATGCCTGTAACTTTTATAATTTGCGCAATTCAAAGAAGGTAACACGGCTGTTCAAGTTTAATGCTGATGCCTTTGTTGTTATGTTACTACATACACAATATATCTGTAATTTGGTTTTTAATACAAGGCAAATTTCCTATTAATGCAAAGAATTTTTATAGATACAGTAAAGTTATTCTTGCAAATTTAACTGTTTAATGACCAGTTTCTGAATTAAGAAAAGTACAAAATCTCAACTGATTATACTCAATAACTTAAGTTTTTTTTTCGTTTTACATAGCAAAAAGTCCTAGTTTTATCAGACTACTATCAACTGATTATTTAAAAAATTAAAAATAGAAACGAAAATATGTTTTAATGATGTTTGAAATGGTTTAACCCATTAACGCCCGCCGTACTATAAGAAGTACAGTAATTTAAGTTGAGATTAAAGTTATTAAATTACTTTTTTTCATTTTGCTAACCCCTTCAACCTTTCAATCGAAAGTTTCGTAGTAAGTATATAGCAAAATCATGATTAAATCACTAAATAATCTGACAGTAGTGAGCATTTTGTGCCAGTGATTTTTTGATATATGTCGGTGAGTATTTATTTCTCATTTTATAAAAAAATGACCATTGAAATTTATTAAAAAGATTTAGTTTTAACTCAATAATATACTATTTGTTTGTAAAACACGTAGAAAAACAAAATTTTTAAAAAGTGTTACAAGCTATAACATGTCGAGTGCTGCTGTACTAAGTTTAGTACAATGGGCACTTGACATGTAACGTGAGACAGTACAGTGCAACAGTTTATAATCGTGTTTTCAAGTTTTTTTGTCTTTATATTACTAATAATATCTCAATAACGAACCTTTAAGTGGCATCGTTACCAGACGATAAGAGGAAACTAGGTATCTAGAAATTATAAAATGGCTATTCGACGTACTTTTACGAAAAAAAAAAGTAGTTTTTCTATGAATAACACCATCAGTTGAGATAGTAATAATAATGATAGTAATGATTATGCTGCTACCCAATCCAGATGTTGTTACAGATGAAAAATGTGACTGGTGATATGCATAGATGTTGTAATTCACAGTACATCTACTTTTCAGAATGTAATGGTGTGAGTGGTCATCATAATCAGTTTTCCAGTTTTCTTATTTACAGCATTCTGAGATGTAGATGTAATCTTACAATGTGGCCAAAACAAGACGAAGTGGAACTAAAGCTGAGGAGGATTTTTGCCAAAATGTATGACTATTTACTAAGTTTCTTGGTTCACGCAGATCTAATATCTGTTACAGAAACATAAGTCTCAGATATAATAAAACGTTTGACACTTGCAAAGTTTTAGAACTTTTCGATGATGTAGTGCTAGAACTTATTGCGACTCAAAAAAATACTGTATACGATGTACAAAACTGCTGTCATGATAAGGTTTATACAAAAATAATATTTGAAAATTCCAAGTCCATCTTATATTACTGGATATCATAAATTATCTAGATAAAGGTCATATTGAAATTTCGATAATAATATTGGTGTGCCACTGGTTTCAGAATGCATCTTCCAGAATCAGAATTTTGAAAACAAAAGTCGTCTGCGTTTTACATTTAACACATTGGCTAGTTCCCCTACGGATAAGACGTACAAGAAGTGTTCCACTTTATTGAGATCTTACAAAAAGTTGTGTCGAATTGTTATATGATATGAAAATTTCTAGTTCATGGGATATTACATTGTAATGTCAATCCTGAATATTATACAGATCAGCTGGTATTGCGAGACATAAAACACGCACATATTTGAGTAACATAAGGCAATACAACCATCCATCATTCAAGAACAAGTTAGGAAAAACAATGTTCATTATTCTCAAAAAAATACTAATATACCAATGACTGTGTCCTTTGTTTCAACAGAATCAAAAGAGCGTTGGAAAAGTGACAAATAACGTCGTGTTTCGATAGAATATACTTTTTTCGGTATCCCCATAAGCGCCCATTGTACTAAACTTAGTACACCTCTAAAAGTACATCTTATAATTATTTTTTTATAATTTTTTCTTTGTAATATCAAATAATAGGTGATTTGAAAACAATATTAAGAACTGGTTCCCTAAAATTTTTGTAGGATTTTATTTGGGCGTTAATGGGTTAAGTACTGTTTGAGACGTGCTTGACTTTAAATTGTCAATTCAGAAACTGGGTGACACCCAGTTGTGCAAACTTACACTGACATAATCATTAGTTTAAAGCAGCATAGCTGATAAAAATTTTCAAATTTAGAACATTCTTTAGAGCTTAAATTGTCATTAAACGTCAATGGACGTTTGTGCAACTCGATTTCGATATGGAGTATTATTACAGTCTCATATTTCTCTTCAAATTAAACCGTTTTCTTACTTGAATTTGCTAGGTATCGTTCCCCAATGTCGTTTCACTCCCTTGCAGTCAAGTTGCCACGCCCGCCATAAGCCCGGGGCACCGTTGAACAGAGTGTTATCCACAAACAACACCTCATCTTTCCTGAACCATAGAGAATACTCGTCTATGGTATCCATCCCTATGGAGGTGATTTTCGCGCACCGGTCGAAACCGGCGCGTATGTAGAACGCGTCGCCAGGCTTATCTTTTATATCATGATACTGTTGAAGATCGTGGCGGACTAGAACACTGACCTAAAGCGAAAAATGTTCATGTCACTTTAGGCATCTTAAATTGAAAACTTTTACATTATATTAAAAAAAATACAAAATAAAAATCTCGAAATTGAGGGGGAACATTAAGGATGTTTAAGCATAATAAAGACAATATTAAATTGACGTCATTCAGCTTTTTTAGGTTTCCTTGACCAGTAAAAATTAAAAAAAAAAGTAAAAATGGTTAAAAAATCAATCTCAAAGTTCCAGGATTCGAGTCTCATCTCAGAATGCCAGGGACAAAGTGGATTTTTTAAGTATTTTTCATTAAGACTAATTTATTTGTAATGTTCCCAAAAAGCAATCAATATATATAGGTGTCTTATCATAATCTAAACCAATTTCGAATCTTACTTTAAATTAATGGAATTTGTATGACTAATTAAATGCCAGATGAGTCAATGAATATTAAAATTAGTTTATCTGTTGCCAAAAAATTGTCAATAACTGAGATCCATATTATTTACCACTTCGATTGTCTATCTAGATATCCATTTTGATAACATTCCAATCTAATAACATAACATTTTAGTTATAATTAGTTTTTCTTGCAAGTTATTAGTTGGCTCTTTGCTGACATATTATAATTTTATAAAAAAATAATGAGCTATCTTTGAATATGATTTTCAGTGGAAAAAAAAATTATCACGTCACGCTATACCGTAAGCAGACCTCTGTTAGTAGAAAAGTTCTATAAGAGCGCGGTCAGTACAAAGTCGGACAATGTAGTCTGATGCGCAGCCGTGTATATATAAAAAATATTTAGCTACTCACTTTATCTGCTGGTTTAGCCAACTCCAAAGCGGCTTGCTCAGCAGTTGCTCTTCTCAAATCAACATTATTGTACTCAAGTATCTGATCGCCAGTCCTCAAACCAGCAATATGCGCGGGAGAATCCAACTGGACGCTATGTACGAAAATACCGACAGCGTTACCGCCCACTAAACTTATGCCCAAATCGGAGCAGTTTCTCATCTCTATCAATAGAAACCTGGGTAACTCCTTATTGGCAGAAGTTTGCCGGAGAGGGGCTGCATCTCCGGATGGGGCTTCCGCGCGCAAAGTCTGCTGAGGACCTGGAGAATTCCTTGGCGTAGGAGACCCAGATAATGACACTTCCTCATCGTGAGAACTCTCGCCGGATGAAGAACTGCCGGGCACTTCCACCTCGTCCTTATATTTCTCGGGGCTATATTGCACGAGCATAGTTATCGAATTGCCAATCTGTCTTAACACCCGAGCGGCGAGAGTATATGTAGCTGACCGCATGTTTATACCACACACTTCCAACAACTGATCACCTATTTGAAGGCCAACTTGACTGGCCAGCGAGTTTTCATTCACCGTCGACACGAATACTCCTCCACTGCTAGGCGGACAGTATATCTGTATGCCAAGCGGCTGCTGACTTTTGTCTATGTGTACTCTCCGCAGCTCCCCCGGTAAGGGTTTGTCCCAACCTAGAGCGCAGTACTCGGGCATAGAATTCCTTGTGCCTTTATGTGTCGATGGCTTAGCCCCTCTTCCCGGACTCAACACTTCGACATGAAATGTTGGCATCGGTGAGTTCCTCTCGGAACTCCTCTCTATGGACCCGGTACTCAATTTGCCGGCGGAATTCTTGGAAGTCACACTTGGGTTGGACGGAATTCGAAATCTCTGGTTCTCTTTTTTTCTAGGAAAAGTTCCCCCTTCGTATGTGTGGTGGTAGTCTCCAACTCTATTCGTTCGCGGCACCGGTTGTAGATCGGACATATTGTGTGCGTGTGACGTAAACGAATGCATATCATAACTGGTCCCAATACTCTCACCAGATTGGCTCTGAGGTATGTTAGTGGGGCTTGCCAAGTGTGGGTATCGGGACGGATGCGGGTTCGAGTTTACAAACGGTCCTCTGTAATACTGCGACTGTAAACGTGATTGTGTAGGAAGCGTGCCGGTCATAGGGTAATTCGCGTTGCTGTTAAGACTGTCCGGGCCGAAACTGTCGCTATCCGAAGGATATTTGTTCACCGTTTTCGGCGACGACGACTTCTTGCTGGAGTAGTAATTGTCTAACAGATCCTTTCCCGGGTGATTCTTAATAGAATGTTCTAATGAGCTAGGCGACTTTCTTGTCACGAAATCTAGCGAACTCGGCCCTTTGTTCACCATAAAGTCTAATGAGTGCGGACTCTTCGTCCTGTTCCTCGTAACCGGTTGATAATCCAAGGAGTCGTCCGAGGGGTTCAATACTAAACTGAGGCGATTCGGCGTTATGTCATGTTCCGAATAATCACTGATAGACATCTTATCTTTCTCAAGAGTTCGTATTTTGTCGTAGTTCATGTTAGTAGGTGAAGCGAAAGGATTGTGAATGGCAAGTGGTGCCGGTTTCGGAAAGTGCTCGATCGCAGGGGAAGATTCGATGGATTTATAAACGGAGTGCCTCGCGGGCGCCGTGGCTTGAGTTAGAGGTGCATGTCCTAGTGGTATCGGATTCGAATTCCGATTGATATTCGACCTCTGTGGTTCCGGTGGTAATTTAGTAGGTGGACTGAGCAGTATAGAAAGGGGGGGTCTTTCTTTTCTAGAGCGAGGTTGAACGATAGTTCCTGTCGAGTTTTCCTCTAGAATGAAGTTGGCTCTAGCCTTAGGCCACGTCCCACCATTTTTTGTATCGTTTTGCGCTTCTTTATTTTTCCGCCGCGAACGTTTTAAAACGCTACTAGTTTCTTTAACTGAAACAAAAAATATTAACATTAAAACACTGTAGATTAGAATGTGAAAAATTGTACAAACAGACTCTCGTTGTGATCACTCACTTGTCTTGCCATGATAGCTGTCGATAACCGAATCTAACTCCGCGATAGCGTCAGATTCTGGCACCTGCAAATTACAGTAAATTTTATCAGTAAAATAAATAAGCCAATACACACCCTAGCCATGCGTAATACGTCACAAAACTGACCATTCATATTGGTTTGACCTATCTTAAAGACACTCATTAATCTACTCCATATGAATCTGTCAAAAGCAGCTTTAACAATCAGTAAGTCATTCACTATATCTAATTGTGTCAGATAAAATGTATCTATGTATATACTGATTGATGTATGTACCAGAGATAGAAGAATGATATTTAGGAATATTCTAGATCACCAGATCTAGATTCCATAAATATCGCTAATCAATCATCTAACTAACTATGTTAATCAATCAATCGTTAACTATGTCATACTATATCTATTACAATAATATTGTAATTACACTGTCTGGAAATTAAAATCTTTGCATATATTCACGTTAATTCTGCTATAGAACGTAAACGAAAGACTAACCTTATTCTGTTTGTCTTTCGACTTACTGCGTCCCGTCACGGCCTCAATCTTACCGCGAATCATGTCCCAAGTGCCTGTAACCGGTAAAGCTGTCAGTCTCTGTCTCCTATATCTATATCAATACAGTTATCTTATCGATACCACTCGACAGAAGCGAAATCATTCAACTCGGCGGACGTAAACAAACATTGAATATTTATCGGGCTATATACGTAAATAAGGATTAAAACGTATATTTAGTCTTATTGATAAACAAAATCTATGAGGGTTTCTTTTTAATCAGAATTGTTTTGCCGCTTCCGTCGAGTAAATTCATTAGATCAAAGAAATAATAGAAATGGTCACATATATTGTTCCACTCTCTAGTTAGATAAGCACTTGTAATTTGGAATTGGGGTATCAAAATGGCCCATGTTTGAGCCTAAAAATTTGATATTATGTATCAATCAAAGCATGAATGAAAGGAGACAAAAATGGTATGAAATTAAAAATTCAAATAAATAAAAAGACAAAGCAATGTATAGTGCAGTTTTTTTCCCATAGAAAAAATTACAAAACAAATTTAAAAAATCACATATAAATGACAAACCTCTTTCCTGATGTATTTTCCCCTGGCTACCAGCAACGTGATACACATATCGCCTGTCGAAGTCAGACACACAATGATCTATGTGTACCTGGAATTTATTTTAATATTACAAAATTATAATTTATTATCTTTTTTTTTATCAAAGGATTACTTTCTTACCTTGGGATCTTGAGGCGGAGGTAGAAATTGACACCACGACTCGTCAGTTTGCGAGCATATGTTCACCTTGCCGTCCGAGAACGAGTGCTCGTACATACTAAATCTACAGATAAAAAAAACAACAATGGAAAGCATAAATAAATGTATAATATATTTTTATTTGCTGTAAATAAGATTGATTACAGTGTACAGTAAGATCCAATCAATATGCGACATTGTATGCTCGAAGCAGACCTACAAATTCATAAACTAACGTACGATTGAAAATGAGTATTATTTCAATAAACGTAACTTCTGAAATACAAGAGAAAATTGTCAGTCTCACTCACACTCGGCGGGCATCAGGCGATCGTATCAGATGATTTGTCTAACCACATTAGCAACAGTAAAATAAAACTAATATAGCTCATAGATATACCTACGTAGAATGCAAAATTTCGAAGAATCATAATAATTTAAGTATCACGCCATCGGGCGGCCTCCGCTGAGTGTAAGTAAAAATGAACTATTGATGCAATGTATTTTACATCTTATGTTAATAGACACAAGACTCGCTATAAATTTCATCGTACATTCGGTCATCGTCTGAATTGGTAGATCTACTGTGCGCAGACGAAATTTCACCGTGTGCTATATTACCTATAATATCTGTGGTTAAAACATAATAACCATAACTCGACACCCAAGCAGCAAAATGTGGTCTAGTAATCGTTCTGGAACCACAATTTCATCAGGACTATAATGGAATAGTAAGCAATTATAACCACGGAAAAGGGCCCATTTTACAGGCGTATTTGCTCTAATTCAATATCTATAATGGACTTGGTGAACACTACTTTGTTCAGTAACGACCCTATAATTAGTCTACGTAGAACTATTTGCTCCTGCGAAGTTAACTATCAGCGCTTAATGGAACCAAATACGGCAGTAAAAAATCTCTTACAGAACTATTCAAAGTGTTGTGAATTGGCAAATGTTGCTGCACATATTTATATTGATAATGGTAACTTTTCATCCATTTCTAATTTTAATTAATATCCAAAATATTAATTATAAGTAAAGAGTTACTTAACAATTTTCGGTGAAGTATAACAAGTTTTCTATTAAAATTTTTACGCGCCTCTCAGAAGAAGCGTTTTTAATAAGTTAGATTTCGAAATAATGTCGGTTTCAGTAAGACCATACAAGGAAAAGTCGCCATCTTGACAGATGGTTTTTCCAAATACATTAAAAAACCATTTTAGGCGTACTTTGTCTAAAAAGGGCAGACATTAGAACCGTTGCTTGGCCATATTTTTTTGGAATCAGGGTTCAACAAATATTTTTATAACTGGCATGATTCTTTTAATATTTTTGTTTAGATATAAACATTTAGCAAGGTAGTGTTTTTGAACATCGATCGCTTTTTGACTAAAAGCGATTTCGAGCTTTAAAAACATCAAGGTGGCCTTGGGAATAAATTATTGTGTCAGAGTAAGGTAGTAAATCTGACGTAAGAGGGAAAATTTTGAATTTACCTTGAATAAAACTTCATTAGCAAAAATCAATATTTTGTTTATTTTTGTTAACTTCTGACCTATTTACAACTACTAATGGAATTATTTTTAACTACTAATAGAATTAACCAATCAGTCAATTATTATCAAAAATTGTTGTTCAAATATTTATATAATTCTGGTATATTTGAACTGGTAAATTTTGATATATTTGAACCATACAGAATACTCGCAAGCTTATATTTTATGTTTGAAATTTTAAAGACCTTTTCCTTTCTATTGTTGTTGATTTCATTAAAATTGCATTGATATATATTAAGAAACAATGATTTTCGATCGAATGCATCTTGTGCTTGTACAATAGCATTACCACGTATTTCAATATAATGTTCTTGGGTGTAGACCCAGTGATTTTAGAAAAACAGCCCATTTTCTAAAATCACTATGTAGTTCAAAATTACGAGAAGAATAGTCTTCAATATCGCTTTCATCTTTTGACAGATTCCTCACTTGATAATTCAAGGGATGAATTGATATAAACGATATTGAAATACGAGTTATTAATATAAACGTTCTGTCTCAAACTATCACAAGAATTGTTTTGTACGGAACTATTTCCTATTTCTACGATACTTTCTTCGCCAGACAAAGTTAAAACCGGACACCTGAATTATTTGTTCATAGGTTTTCGGATTTTTTCGTTTGTATGAACCACTTCTTTTTAGCCGTTTCTATTTATACAGATCCATTTGATAACAGAAGTTAATAGCACTTCGGCAAGGAAAAAGATTTATCAGAATTAAAATAGTTTTGTTGAGATTATAACAACTTTTGCAGGACCATAATAAACCAATGTATTCTTGTATCAAATCCTTTATAATAGGTTTGTGATTATAACAATATTAAGTTACACCACTATAAAACTTATCCATTTTACGTATAATTGTTGCGTATAGTGGATTTATAAACCTATACAAAACCAAGTAATAAATGCAAATGGTTTCCAGTTTGTTTAGCACTCTTATTGGCGTACTTTACTTGTAATAGTTCTATAATGAGTTATTTTAGCAGTTATAAGAATAGCTTACTAGTTTATCTACTCTCGAGTACATTTACACCCACAGCATGCTTTTATAGGGCACCTAAGCGTATAATATATCCTTAATTTTGATCTATAAGTGATTATAAGTTGATATATAAGATCAGATATACTACAAGGCCCAAGTGACTCCATGCTTCCTACTATAAGCGTGGCAGTAAATACTATGACCGTTAAGAGAATGTTATAAGTGCTGAAGGCCTATAACAACTGTACTATAGAATAATTTTGCTGCTTGGGCATGGTATCAAATATTGGTGTAATTATTATAAGCTTTAAATGCTTATTTATTTATTTTAGACACATAAACCATGTACAAATCCAACGCCAAAAAAAAGTAAACAGATATATCATTTATATATACATATACATATAGATAATTATTTCAACTGTACTCTGTAGTATGTACATTCTTTAATATAGGAAAACATATATTCATTTCTAAATACATTTATTACATTAGAAAGTATTTATTTACCTGTCTCTAGTGTCGCAACAAGGATACAGCGGCCTCAGTACAGTGAGTACTACAGACTCGTATTGATACTCATTCAGCACAGCCATCGCTTCGGATACACTTTTCATACCTTCTAATGATCTGTTGTTTATCTATTCATAGGAAACAAACAAAACGGTAATTATAAATAAGTCTACTTTAAACAGTATGTAGTAACTATGAATTGATGATTGGTAGCATTAATATCAGTACTTACACTGACAACTCGATCGCCAACATACAAGGTGCCTTCCTTAGCGGCGACGCTGCCACACGCAATTTTGTTGATGAAAATACCTGCGCACGGACAACAAAAATATTATTTCACATTTTTTTTAGAAGTTTCCTTTATATTCGTATCTGAATTCTCCATTAGATTTAAAGCCTCTTTCTCTTTAGGTTAAAACTTTAACCTTTTAGAGAGCAGATTAACAATTTTCCATATATTCCCAATTATTAAAAATGACTTTTTCAGTAGTATTAAATAATGAATATCCATAACTTCATATAAGTTTCATATTTTATATTGATCACTACCATTAACACTCTTTAATTCTTTAATATATATGTATATGATATTATACCATGTTGCAGCGCAAGCCCTCTACAGGAGGAGATGCGGACGAGACGGCGCTGCGCCCGCGCGCGCTGTATACGCAGCGCGGTGTGACCGTGCTGCAGCGCTGCGCGCAACGCCGCGGCTGCAGCGTGACCGCTAGACCACACGCACACGCCGCAAGCTTCCGTCACCCGATCCAAGACCCTAAAAACCAGACGTCATATCAACAAACGAAAGTGGGATCTACGATCACAATACCGATTATAATCTTCAAACAAAAAATTAAAAAGTCGTAAAATAAAAGTAATTTAAAAAGTACTTTAAAACTTTTTTTCTTATATTTTTTATTTTTTTAAGCACTTGCATGCAAGCTCGTGGTAAATCAGGGTCAAAAGTCAGGGGTCTGTGTATGCGCTTTCAAAATGAATTCCCAAGCAATATATAAAAAATTGATGCAAATAAAATTTAACAAAAATTTCTACTTAACATCTTAATATACCAAAGATATAATAATGACGTACTTAGAACGTGCTCGGCTGTTTGACTGTTAAAACGTGGACAATATTAAACCGTAAAAAAATACACATTTTAATAATAAAAAGCTTTAAAATTAACAAATAAAAACTGAATAATTAATAATTCATATGTATTATTAATGAATATAATATGTATAAGAGCAAATACTAATTTTAAATATAATTTTTTGTTCTACATACGTTATTGTAAATGTGTAATATGTAAATGGAAAAAAATAGTTACAAAATAACAAAAGCTAATGTAAATAGTATGGTCAAAGTTTACCAAATGTAAAAAATGTCTTATAAAATACAACCTAATTTTTAAATAAATTAGAAAACTTAATTTCTAAAAGAGTCCAGATGCCACTTCCACAGTGACACGCATCTTAACTCTGTTTGTTTTGTATCTGACTGTTTTTTTTTTTTGCTGGTTAACCTCATTTTGTAATCTAATAAATATATTTAATTTTTAATAAAAATCTATTTTTTGTCAATTGAGAAATAAATATTTAAGATATTAACACAAAAAAGACTTCCAAATAGGACACTAACACCATCAAAAAATAACAATGATGTACCACAATAACATAATGAAAACATTAAACACTCACTTGATCTTGCCCTCTGCTACGGAACCTTTCTTGACAGCGGTAACGTAGACGCTGTAGTCGTTAGGGTAGCAGGGCTCATCACGGCCGCCTGATAACTCGAACCCTAAGTCTCCGTCTTTGGTCAAACCGCTCAGTTCTACTTCAATAACGTCCCACTCGTAATCCTGCAATTAAGTAAGCGATAACAGAAATACTACTGCGATCAGTGATTATTTAAAGACATGAGAGGAGTCAACTATATACCTATAAAGTTTTGCTAAAATCACCCCCCGACGACATGGAGGGGGGCATGCTGTAACATTGGCATTTACAAACAAGCGAATTCCCGCCGCTTTGACAACTTTTAACGACGCTATCTCATAATGAGTATAACATTTCCGCGCATAATACAAAATTCTTCAGATTTATGTCATTAACATATTCACACAAGCAAGTCTAAATAAAATGTAAATTATAATTCTTCTAATGAAAACTGAATCAAACATCTTTTTCATAAATAAAGAAATAACATTGACCGTTACAAGTACTGCGAATGATTTTTTCCGTTGTTTACAAAATCGTATAGATCGAATGAAGTCTTAAAAAAATCATAATGGCAAATACCTGTATATCAGGATCGACGGCGCGGTCTCTGGAATGAGATTGCGAGTGCGCATGTCGCGGCCTTTCGTCTATTTCGCGCAGTTTGTCTTTATTATCGCTCTTCTTGCCGCCATGTCGCCGCGCATCCGCTAATTCTCCTACCATTTGATCGCGCTCCTGTTCACACCATTTTATTATTCGATAATCCACAGTCGGTAAATGATGCAAAAGCAATAATATCCATAGGCATAGACGTATCGTGGGTGAGGTAAAAGTAAAAGAACTTTTATATTTTAAAGGATAATGTTTTTTATTGGTACTTTATTCCGAAAAAATCTAACCACTATGAAGAAAATGATTATAGCATCTAGACTCAATCCTTTATCTTTCACCAAAGCTTCAGGTCTGTTAGTTCCCTGCTTGAGAGAATTAAGTTAAAAAAATGGTATGGTTTTCCAAGAAACACTAGTATGCTCAGCTATAAATCTCATTAAAAAAAATGCACAAAATTAAAACAAACGCAAAGGGATCTTTGTCCACAGCCTAGCTTTCGGTAGGGTACTTTGGGGTAATTACGAATATAGGGAAATTCCAATAATAAAATTAAACAAAAAGCAATCTTTTAATTACAACAAATCATGAATAAATCCATTTCCTCATCTTTTTACCCTTCTGCATGGAAGGACGCTAATGTTGTTCCTGTACCTAAACAGCTTAAGCCTGATTCCTTTTCAGATTATCGTCCTATTTCCATATTGCCCTTCCTATCCAAAGTCCTTGAAAAACTGGTTCATTTACAATTTAGTAGATTCCTTTCTTTGAACAACCTGCTCAATCCATTTCAATCTGGTTTCCGTCCCGGTCATAGTACGACTACTGCACTTGTCAAGATTGCAGATGATATACGCGAGGGTATGGAAAATCGTCAGCTTACTATATTAACACTTTTAGACTTTAGTAATGCATTTAATACTGTGGATTTTGACATATTGCTAGCAATGTTGGTTTCTCTCAATGTATCTCCACCGGTAATTGATTGGTTTCATAGTTACCTGTACGGGCGACGGCAGCGCATAAGTGTGGGAAACAGTTTCTCCGATTGGTGCGACACAACTGCCGGAGTACCGCAGGGTGGCGTTTTGTCTCCTCTCCTTTTCACTATCTTCATTAATTCAATTACTCTTCCTCTCTCTTCTTCCTATCATATGTATGCAGACGATTTCCAAATTTATACACAAGCACCTATAGAGGGACTATCAAAGGCAATTGCCACCACTAACGTAGATCTTCAGCATATTTCTGAATGGAGCCGACGACATGGTCTGGTAGTTAACCCACAAAAATCTCAGGCAATAATTATCGGAAGCCATTGGTATTTGGACAGGATAAATTATAATACGCTGCCACCTATCCTCTTGGATGGCGATTGTATACCATTTCAAGACAGCGTTAAAAATCTTGGTGTGTTTTTCGACTGCAATTTTTCGTGGAGCCATCACGTTCGTGAGGTTAGTAGGAAAGTGTTTGGTGCATATAGCTCGCTCAAACGACTCAAGAATCTATTGCCGACTAAGACAAAAATCACTCTTGCGCAATCCCTGCTTCTCCCACTGCTTGACTATGCTGATTCCTGTTATTCTGACCTAAGTGTCATACATCTAAATAAGCTTGAGCGTCTTCAGAATTTATGTATCCGTTTCATCTTTGGTCTACGCAAGTATGACCATATCTCTGATTATCTTACCCAACTTCAATGGCTACCTATCTCTCGTAGAAGAGACTGTCACATCCTATCGCTTCTTTATTCCATTCTTTTTAATCCTCAAACACCGCAATATCTTAAAGATCGCTTCGTTTTTCACTCTTCTAATTCTCTCCGAGATTTGAGGTCTTCCCATAACCTTTCCTTAGTGATCCCTCCTCATACAACTGATTTTGTAGCCAAGTCGTTTTATATCAGAGCTATCAAACTGTGGAACTCACTGCCGGTAAATATCAGACGCGCACAATCACGAGAGTCCTTTGTTAAATATGTCAAGGAACATTTCCTCAAGCTGGATTCATCTTCCTGAAATTGTATTCTGTTTTGTGTTGTTTTGTATATATATATATATATATATATATATATATATACATATATTTTTTTTTTTATTATATTAGTATATGTATTTACTTTTAAGAATTTTCACATTCATCTTTCTTTAATACACTTGCCCGCTGTCTCTTTACTCAATCGGTATAGCTTCTTTTAGTCAAGAGTAGCCTGGTAGAGATTGCTACCTTAGCAATAAGGCCGCCTTTTGCATCGATGTTTCTAATAAAAATTGTTTTCATGTTTATGTGTTAATGGGCAATAAAGTATATTCATTCATTCAAACATGTGTTGTAATTAAAAGATTTTTTATCCAGTAAAAGCCTGTTTAATAGTCAACTTTACCGACACAAAATGCCTGATTTGTTGTTTATTCGTCACTTTCAGGCATCCTGAATTTGCTTGTTTTGTGTATAACCCCAAAGCACCTTATAATAACTTAGCGTCCCTAGTAGACGAATCATATATTAATATTGTGAAAATCAAATTCATAATTTGTTTATAAATTCATGTGTTTATTATAATAAACAACGCACGGAATAAACTCAAACCGAGACATTGACGAGTTTCGATTCATTTAAAATAACTCTGTATTTGAGATTTAGAGGTCTGAAACAACAATAATTAATAGCAAATAAAAATAACAATTCCACATTGTCCAAATAAATTGATTTACAACATGAATTGAAACGTAAGTTAGGGATGGGGTTGCCATAGATTTTCTTAATGCCCTTATGTGATGCTACATAAATTATAAAATATCCACCAAATGATGTTCGAATCAGAAAATAAACATTTTGGTGGCGTCTAAAAATAAAATAAAATTATGATGAGTAAGGTTTATTTATATACTGGGTGGAACAGAACGACCGACACTCCCGAGGTTCCTGGAGAGTACTATTTGTCTTTAATATGATGTAAAAAAAATATATGCCTAGGTCAAATAGTTTCGGAAATATTAAATTTCAAAGTTCTTGGAAAAAAATGAGTGTTTTCAACCCTGAGTCAGCTGTTTTTGGGACGTACTAAGGAAAAGTTTTTAATCGGTCATTGACTTCTTCATTTCTAAAAACGAAATAAACTAGTTTGTGATTTATAAGACTGTTTCATGCAAATAATACCAGACAGACAATCAATAAACAAGACAGATTTACAAACTAACAGCCGGCTTCTGATTTGAAAAAAGTAGATAATCTCTACTGCTTATTCTAAATAACCTAAGGTTTTTAATTTCACAAGTCAAATCGTACTAGTTTTATCAAACTGCTATCAACTGATCATCAAAAAACTAAAATCGGAAACGAAAACTAAGTGATGTTAATTTTAGACGTTTAACTTTAAATTCTCAATTCAGAAACAGAGTGTAAAATTTTCTAAATTATTGTAGAGAGATCAGTCTAACATTAACCTATTAATTAAAAGAGCAGTTCTCAAAAAAAAATGTTTGAATGGGGTAATACTCCTTTAAAACGGGATCGTTAATTAAACTCGATAAACTCACAAATCTTCCAGTGATTCATCATTAACGCAAATCAACTTTGTTTTAAAAACATTGAGGAATTTGTTATTAAAATAGCTTTTAAAAAGAACATCAAAAAATGCGTGATATCATAAGACGAATAAAAATGTGAACCGAGTTCGTCCCTCAACACCAAAGCCCACCCGCCAGCCGCCAGGCGGCTTCATTATTCTGTCGGTATTTTCTGGCCGCTCAGTCGCCGCCGACCTTTTGCGCTGGAGTGTTGTTGCGCATCGCCGCCGACGCACCGCTGCGAAGCGTCTTTTTTGTCGATTTTTGTTTTGTTCTAGTGCATTTTTAATTGAATTTTTGTTAATAAGATACTACAGTGTTCGTCTTGAGTGTTAAGTGTAGTTTAGTAAAGATTGTGTTTAGTTTTGTGTGAAATGTGATGTGTTTTGCGCATGCATGTACCGGCATGCAAAAGAGCGTGCTTAGCTCAGTCTTCAGAGAGGAAATGGACATTCTCAGCATCGACTGTCATCAAGATATCGGTAAATCATTAAATTAAATTAATGTATTTCGCGGTCCATTGTTATCTGCGCACAATCGATATTGCGCATGCGCGTTATAGGGCTCTCAACACATAGAAATTAAAAAAAATTTACTCTATTTTTACACCTTCTTTATTTTGAAATATTTGTTAAATAAAATGATGTTTGCATGTAACCTGACTTGAAACTTTTGGCTGTGTCGGTCATTTTGTGGCTCCCGGTATACTTTATGCTTGGTTAGAGATACTTTAAATAAAGTACCAGCGTCCATACAAAAAAAAAGTTCTCCTTTGAATAGATTTTATTTAAATTGGCTTGGAGAAATATAAATACATCTTTTAGTTACCTTTCTCAGTCTGTTACAGAGAGCCTTGACACTTTCTCTTTCTTGTAGGAGTTTATCTCTTTCCGAAAACGCCCAATCTCTCCGTCGTTTCGATACCTATAAAAATAAAAACTAATATTTATTTTTGGTTCAAACATTGTTCTTTCTATGTATAAACACGCTCAATATGTATTTAACAATAGTAAGTTCGTTAGAGATTTTACATTACTTCAATAAAAAAGCTGTACATACATTATGTCAGATAATATCTTACCTCGGCTTCCCTCTGTGCATCTGAGAGTTCCGCCTGCAATCTTTCCAGCTGTTTACGAAGTCGCTCCAGCTCCGGATTGTTCTGTTCCAGAGCTTCGCCCCGTTCTTTATCGCCGCCCTCCGTCGCCAGCCCTACTAGACCTGTGTACAAAACGACTGATTAATAAACTATGATAATACTCAGTTTTACTTATAAAATAGCACAATTTTTCAACGCTGTAAACTGAGATATGACATGACATAAAAAAAAAGATCCATTCAAGAAAGTCATAGAAAACCTCAAGAACAAAGTTAAGTATAGCACAGTGGTTACAGCAATCACCCGGCTTGTAACCTAGCTATCATCAAATTCGATATTTTCAGCTATTTGTTCCATTTCACCTGAGATTTCTCTAATTCTAAAGTTAACAAACGATAACGCGATCAAATGCATACTACCTTATCATATAAGCATTACCTTGCAACTTATCCAATGAAGGATCATTAGAATGTTGCCCATTGAGGAATCCGTCGTTACCCACACCACTTGCTAGACCCAAATGGTGATACGCGGAATTGTCTTGTCTGTTAAAAAAAAAGACTATATATGTCAAATTATTATATCAAGACAAGGAAAATAATAACTTCACTGATTTCATTTATCCACTTCAATGTTTTGAACCTTGTGTACTTGTAATACAGCATATAATTTGCTTACCTGGACTTGGCGAGCGCGTTGTTCTGCGGCGTTTTGAGATCACTACACTCCTTGATGGCACGGTCACGATCCACTAGTGCAGATTCTATCTCCCGCCGTAAACTCTCCGCCTGTTTATGATGGACCCATTTAGTTATTCTAGATTTGATTCCTCGGTGGTAAAAACTAAATTTATTTAAATGAAAATCAACGGTTTTATATTGTCGTTTAAGCATGAAGCGGTGTGAGATAAAATGGCTAATAGACCAACCACTTAAATAAATCCTTCTCGCCTTAGGGGTAGAGGAGACGCGAAGTGAAATGCACATAACAGTTCTTAATAAATCTACCGTTATAGAGTTCAACGAAGAAAGAGTTTATTACTATTAGTGTTAATTCATAGTATCAGTTTGGATAATAAGTAACGTCGAGAGTAACGTCCAGAATCGAAGGTTCTATGGCGGAGGGTATATAAAGAGCGAGTCGTGGTCATGCACGCCAGTAATACTTCGAATGTTGCGTTAACTTCAACAAAAAATTGAATAATATTAAAACCCATGTCCGACATTGTTTATTATATAAGTACCAATCTGGCCACTGCGCTGCAGAAACTGCACGTAACATATGCCAATAAGTAGCTCATGACGCAATCTCCGAGGCAACAGCAAAGCGGTGGTGGAGACTATTCCTTGATAGATCAACCGAGGTCTGGGCGTCCAATAGCAACAAATATAAATAAACAGAAAACGAAAAAGATTCTAGAATCTTTTAGACGTAACACAGGTAATTTGGCTGTAGAGAGGTCTAGACGTAGCACACCTAATTTGGCTGTAGAGCGTGCGTGCTCTCATGGTACGATTGAAAATCATTTTAATGCATTAGAAAAGTCTTACAAATTTGGCGTTTGGGTGCCCCATCAGTTAACCAAGGATCAACTCATCTATTATCATTTCGTCGTACATTTAACTGGCTAGACCATCTCGTCAATGGAAACGAAAAGTGAGTTACGTATGTTAACCATACATGCAAGCGCCAGTGGCTAGGCCGCAACGAACTAGGCAAACCTACGCCGAAAAAAGATATTCATCCTCGCAAGGTGATCCTCTCGGTGTGGATGAATAGAGTAATATACTGGGAAATTCTTCCTTCCAATATCACGATGACAATGAACGTGTATTGTAATCAACTCGATAATCTGAAGCTCGAACTTCATCGTAAGCGTCCACAACATGACAAAATATTTTTCCTCCACGATAATGCCCGACCACATATTGCTAAGAGCACCCGACAGAAACTATTGGAACTGAACTGGGAAATAGTTCCACATCCTCCGTATTCCGGACCGGACTTAGCGCCAACAGATTTTAATTTATTCTGGTCACTTAGGGCCAGTTTTTTGATCCGTGATTAACTCAACAATTTGTTAAAATCTTCGACAAATGGTTAAATATCAGAAAAATATGATTTTGATTAATATTTAGCCCAACCAAGTGTCAGAATTCCAACCATTGGTCAAAAAATTTAACCATCTAAATTATCACCACTGGAAGCTAGTTTAAGCAAATGACCAATGTTTAAAAGAACAGACGTACAACTGCGTTGTATTTATTTGGTCCCTTTTTATTGTTTTTACGTTGTTTTTATAACCCTACATAATTCCATAGTGAATATGGACAATAGTTATTATTGGGATTTCATTTTATGATGCATTTTCATAGGAAAATATTCATTGTAATTTTTGGGTTTAAGGATTATTAAAAATAAGTTATATATTTATCTTGATCATTCTTAGTATATTTGTACTATATAAAATAATTTGTTTTCTGTTTCCACAGACATGTGCCAAATTATTCCATTATTAAAAATCTTATAAAATCCACGTATAGACAATACAAAAGGTACATATGCTTACAGTGAATAAACTACATATTCCTCGATTTATTTTCCAACATTACAATCACACCTTGGATACTAGATACTATATTTTTTCACGTATTTCTCTATAAGATAAAGATAAGATAAATAAATAAAAAAATTGTCTGTGTTGCTTTCTAACATTATTAAAGAAATTGCCTATTTCCTGAAAAAAACACACAGTGCACACAACAGAACAACCATAAACATCCACATTGTTTGGTAATCTATCGAATTCTTTTGTCTATTTGATATTTGGAACAAAATACTAATGGCAAAAATGGTATATAGTTCGCTCCATTCATTCAACCGTTAGTGTTGTCACCTAGAAAAAAATTCGCCATGTCAATGTATAGCGAAAGAACGACATTGTGCTGGCAACAAATTAACTAGTGGTTAAATTTGGCATCAAAAAACGAACAACTGGTTAATGTTTTAACTATAGTCAATTTAAGAAATGGTGAAATGACATTTGACTACGGATCAAAAAATTGGTCCTTAGTAATCGTTTACGTGAAAAAAGCTTTCATGATGAACCCCAGATACAACAGTACATAGATGATTTTTTCAAATCCAAATCTTTGCCTAATCGCTGGCATACAGTGGTAGATAACGACGGTGATTACATTGTGAATGAATAAGGTGATTACATTGTAAAAAAAAATTAAGTTACGCGTGTCGCTCATTATTTATTAGCCAAACCAGATACTTAAGTGTACCTGTACAGCGGAGGCTCGTTGTTCCTCCCTGGAGGCCTGTAGTGCTGCCTCTAGAGCTGCAACTCTCTTCAACGCCGCCTGAAGATCGTCAGACAACTTCTCCATTTCTTTATGCACTGTATCTCTACAATAAAAATGTTTTGCTGATCACTCATAATATGCAATATTTCAAAAACTTTATAAGTTAGCTCTCTCCAATATGGTTAAAAAATTACATAATCGTTGGTATTCCTTTTAGAATAGATCTAATAACAATATACTTGGTAACGTTATATAAGGTGTAATAATTTTATATGCCAAGACTTCATGGGGTGGATGAGTTACATATACTGAACAACATTTACTATAGGACCAACACTGAATTCATGGAAAAAATATTAGTTATAAATATCAGTTTCATACAAAACTATGATACCTACAGTCGCCAACAGTATGAAACAGCTGATTATTTTTCCGTGAATTCAGTATTAGGTACATTAAATGTAACTCATCCACTCCACGAAATCTTTCCACATAATATTACACTATATGTTAAAAAATTCCAAAATGGTTCCACATAACATTGTGCTTGGATTTAAATTACTATTTTAAGAAAATATATAATATGAAATGGAATTATAATATACCAGAAAAGCATTGAAGATAACATTTTACATACATAGCAGCATATATTCCGCAATCGATTTTGAACTTTACTATGTTATGTAAATATTAAGGTTTGAAATCAATAAGAAATTTAATAGTTTTGTATAACTTTTTGTAGAACTTGATGTGCTGACATACCGCTCGCTCATGATGAGCGTGTACTCAGTGAGCGCGGCGTTTCGTTCATCCGTGAGTCGCTTTATATCATTCCGATCTCGCACTCCTCCTTCCCATTGTCGCACCACGCTCGCCATTTGTTGCTTTAGTGCATTTCGCTCACGAATCTAATCACAGTAGGCAATAGTAATTAATACACTTATATGAATTACACAAAAAAACTACGTAAAGTATGTTTTTTTTTAATCTCAGAGATTAAATTGACACATGCAAAGATCAAATTTAGATATAATGATACCAGGTTTTTTCACAATGTTGACTTAAAACAGGTAATCTAGGTTTTGTCAATAATGGTAATCTATTATCGGTATTCGACGATAACCTTAGTAATGACATATTTGACATCCATCATTCTTCATTTAATTATGAGGTATGACGTTAAAATTAAATGAATCTATAATGGTTTTAAAAACAAATTTCCATCGGAAGCAGTAGATTATATTTCAAAAATTAATATCGATTACTTATTTGATTATTATAAACTAACTTAGCTTAAATCACTCGCCTTTTTTTTTAAAATCGATCAATTAGTCTTAAAGTAGATTTGATGAAAACAAACAATTGAATCTTTCTTTTTTATAATAGTATTGATAAAGACTGTACATAAGATGGCTGCATCGACCGTACACGCAGTACGACCCATTCTTTCTATTCAATTCAAATATTAATTCAATTTCGAAAATCAAGCGAGTATTTCGATTTTTAAAATAAATTCCTAGTGATAAAAAGAAAATGAGTACACAGACTTAATACTGTAACGTTATTTAGAATAATCGTTGTATTGAGAAAGATTTATTAACAAGTAAAATTGTCTTATTTTACCCCCGACGCAAAAAAAGGGGTGTACTAGGGTGGTCAGTCTGTTAGTGGCACTCATAGCTCCTGACTGAATGAACTAATTTGAAAGTAGTCTTTTAAAGAGGAAGTATTTAAAAAAAATCTCGAAATCAAATGATTTCTCCATGAGAACCTTTCTAGTTTTCTTTCATGTTTAAAAGTAAATTAGTTTTCAAAACTAAATAAACAACTCGTATTCTATTTGTAATTTTCGGTATTTGTATTGATATCTAAGGTTAGAACTTTTCAAATTTCAGTTTTTTTTTAATGTTAGTTAAAAGGAACAGAAATGACTGTCTTTGGTCGATTCGTTTCCTGCAAAAATCACAAATTGTTAGCAAAGTTATTGTCTTTTTACTGTACCGTACTACATACTTCGTAAGTGGGAATTACGGTACACATTTTGTCAGTGACTTGTAAAAATACTGTAATCTAGAATAATTTTTCGGTTTCAGTTTGTTTGAGGCACATCACTATTTAAGAATTGCAAAAACTTGGCCACACAGTAAATGTCAAATTACTCTCCGAGACTAAAAAAACTGACTTTAATAGAAAAGCTTCCTAGTTTTTTAATTCAGGAAAATCTATAGCGTCATTTGGATTATGATGATCTTCTATATAAAACAAAGTCGCTTTCCGCTTTCTGTACGCCGAGATATTTTAAACTATACAGCCAAATTTAATGCGGTTTTAATCAATACAGTGAATCAGGAAGGTTTATAACTGTCATACAGGACCATGCGGGTGAATCCGCTGACGGAAAAGTAGTTAAATAATATAATTCAATATGAAAAAATATATAGAAATCCTCACCACCGCGTTCCTCTCTTGAGTCAACTCATGGCACTGGGTCTTCAACCTGCTGTTCTCTTCTTGTACTATTTGTAACTTCTCCAATGTTGCGTTATGAGTCTCTATCAAGTCTTCGTATCTGAAACGAAAACTATTCAATATGTGTAGAGTTTAGGCTGATTTTATACTGAAGCTATTGCCAATCGCACTAACGGCAAGCTGAAGTATAAAACCAGCCTTAAAGCAGAGATTTAAATACAAGGATGCCCTTAAACAATGCTATTAATAAACAAGATTTAGCGTCAAATAAATTTATGCTAAAATTGCAATTTTAGTATTAGTCCAAATTCTAATTATAAGTATTGGGAATAAGCAAACCTACTACCTTCTAGGAGCGAAAATCCCGTAGAACCTCATACTAGGTTAACCTTTGCTAAGTCTTATTTTATTTATACTATTTAAATTTATTATGAAAAAAATATATACTCGTTCTCACATAATTACAAACAGCACGTGTCGTCAGTCCTATAAGGAAGATGCCATTAGTTTGACTCTCACATTGACATACGTAGAACTGCGCATAGAACGGTTTGTTATTGTTATTGTTTATATTAGTTTCAGGGGGCTGTGACGTCACACGACGCCATGACAGAAGTTAGCGTTTTAGCGGGAAATTTTAAAAATGAATTTTGTTTTTAGATTCTTAATTACTCAAAATCCATATTGATTTGAAATGTCTCCATATCTCTAGTCGCGTACTTTGAAGTCACGGCAAGCACGCCTAAAATTCCGGTGTATAAAGTGCATTTGTAGTCATAACCTAATTTCATCATTTATTTTTGTTACTACATATTTTAGTTTTTCTGTGCCAGGTACTTTTTTACAGTTATATAACGATATAAATAATGATATAAAAATATTTTTTTAAATGTGCATATTCCTTATTGCAGCTGTATACTTATAAACGATCCACGATTAATTAGCCATGACAGGTAAATGGAGGGTTGCAGCTATTTAAAAATCGCCTCATATTTAAATCTCCGCTCATAAGGATCAAACCAAAATTAACAATCGTTGTTCTAACCTCTTTTGAAAGCATTCGAATTCCTCTTTGAGTGCTTCATGCTTTCTGAGAGTATGCACTAGTGCGTCAGAACTTCCTTCGGGGTTACTGCTTTGCTGTAAATGTTGAATTTCACGCTCTAAGCTGTAAACAATTGGCAAAAAAAAATGGTTAACTTATGTATACATATTTAAGAATAAAATCATTATGATTTATATAATAGCTTACCGTTGGTTATCGTTGAGCAAGTCACCATACTTGCCACGAAGACTGCTGGCCTCCTGAGCGGATACCTCTAATTGATTCATGGCTGCACGGTGTTGCCCTCTAAAGTATTCCAGCTCCTATATTTTATTTATAAATATGTTTAATTACTGATTTAACATATGATATATAAAATGTTATGTAACGTGCTTATTATTGGAATATATGTAGGATTTATTTAGATCGATTGTATGTAAGGTGGAAGGAAACGTAATGGGAGAGGGAAGTGTGTGATTGAGAAAAAAGATCCAAGACGACAAGTGTTCGATGTATTAAATGGTGGCGAATGTGCTTGATAGAGATTAAGATAATTAAAATAAAAGTGAAGTTTCAAGAAATAACGATTTAATTTTATTTGCAGCCGCCAATCACTACATATATCCTACCAGTTGTGCCCGCGACTTCGTCCGCGTGGAATAGTGCCTTTGGGCAGCATCTTTAATTTTTAGGGTTCCGTACCCAAAGGGTAAAACGACAACCCTATTACCAAGATATGGCAGTATCATATAAACCGTGAGATTTTCACAGATGATGCTGTTCTGTAGTAACAATATAACAGTCCGATGTAACAACAAATACTAAAAAAAAAAAAAAAATATTTAATTAATATACAACAAACGTGATTTTTTGATCATTTTCGGTAAGGAACCCTTCATTCATGATTGAAATTGCCTCGCACTTGGCCGGTTTTTTAAACAGTATTTTTGTTAAACAAAATCGAGTCGGTTTTTTAAACACTACTACCTACCCGCATATAAACCTCATACTTAGTTTTGTTCAATCACCCTCAGTTTTCGTTAAACATAAACTAAATTGATTACGCGAATTTTGCTTACCGACGTATGTTTCCGATAAATAAATATTGAATTATTGAAATTAAAACGGTTTTTTTTTGTGATTATCGTTTCTGTACATCGTAATAAGATGCCCCGAGTGTGTGTAAACTATCCTGATAACTTTTGTTACATTTGCGGTCAACTTACTATTAAAAGTCAACGTCGTAATTTGACACCATTAGTTAAAAACTGTTACTTTAATTATTTTCGCTTTCCGGTGCGAAATTTGGACAAAACCTGGACTCCTAGTGTTTGTTGTGCACAATGTGTTAGTTTATTAACATCATGGGCTAAAGGATCTCGTCAAATGCCGTTTGCAGTTCCAATGATATTGTCTGAACAGAAAGACCATGTATCAGATTGTTATTTCTGCCAAACGTCTATCAAAGGTATTAATCACAAGTCTAGACACACCGTGAACTATCAGAATTTACAATCTGGTCAAAGATACACTTCTTACACTCTCATTTGGATTTTTTTCCTCAAAATTTGGGAGCTGTTAGTGATGAAAACGGCGAGCGATTCCATCAGGATATATCCATCATGGAAAAACGGTACCAAGGCAAGTGGAGTCCGAACATGTTGGCTGATTACTGTTGGACACTCAAAAGAGATGTACCTGACGCTAAATATTCCCGAAAATCCTGAATAAAAGTCAAATGTTAGTTGTTTTTCTTGATTAAATTCAATTTTCAACCATATTTACTTAAAAAAGGTGTATTGCAGTTGCAAGAAAACTGAGGGTGACTGAAACTTTTTAAAAATGCAGAGTATTTACAGGCTAATTGTAGATACAAAATATCCCATTCAAATTAATTTAACTTCCATTAAGGTCATTTTTGTCAATCAGTGCTATTTTACAAATAACACATTTATTCATTAAAAAAGATATTTACAGTATTTAATTATTCTTATAAAGATATTTACAGTATTCTTTAAGTACAAAAAATAAATTAATGTACAACTACTTTAGTAGACCCAAATAATCAAAACCTCTGTAGATTTTACAATTATTTGACTTGTTTTGAATTATTTAAAATGTTTTCAAACGTGATTTATCTAATTTTTGTGGCAACAATTTTAGTTCAACCGGTATATTATAATTAAATATCTTAATTGATATCATATATGAGTTACTCTTAAAATGGTCAGTTCTATGTTATTTATTAAGAAATCTTGTGTTAAAATTATTTTCTTTTTTTACAGTTTTAAGTCAGACAAACAAACACACCAATTTTCAAAACACAGTAGCGTCATCTAGCGAAAACAGCTAATTGTAGCATTTTATTATTTTTCTCTCAATTCTCCATTTAATTGGAAATAACGCAAAATTAAACATGAAAGCTTCTTTGTTTGATAAAAATCGGAAAAAATTAAGACAAAAACATAATAAATCAAACTAGTCTTGAAAGTACAGTGGCGTCATCTAGTGTTCAGGAGAGACAGCCAAATGCAACATTTTATTTTTTTGCGCTACTAATACTTCCCCAATTAATTATGTTATTGGAAAAACCGCGAAATTGAACACGAAAGCTACTTTATTTAATAAAAATTGGATAAACAAAGACTACAAACATAAAAAAATCAAAATCTCGGTTTTAAAATTACAATAGTGTCATCTAGTGCACTGTAGAGGCAGCGAAATGTAATATTTTAGTGTACTTGACCAATATAACATATGCATTTAAAATTAGCGGCAAAGATTGTACGGATTATCAAAATGTTATTTAATCCTGCGTAAATATTTAATAATGGATTTGGACAAAGATGACGCAGCATAATTTATGCAGCGCATGTATGGACAGCTTTAAAAAGTAGAATATTCTCTATTTTTGTAACATTTTTCGTTACTCCTCCACTCCTATAAGTCATAGCGAGATGTTATATCCTCGATAAATGAACTATTAAACAGAAAAACAATAATTCAATTTGTTCCAGTAGTTTCTGAGATTATAGGGTTCATTCAAACAAACAAACTCTTCAGCTTTATTATTAGTATACATTAATAATACAGGCATTATCCGCGAATCACAATAATAAAAAATAAAAGCAGAAGACTTTAGAAGCCAGAGGACGCTCAGACACACATGTCACGATCAATACATTGTTTTTTAGGAAAGTGATACCGGAACCTATAAAAATCGTCCGCTATATGAATAGTGATATGATGCAAAACACGCATATAAAGACCGTGCCTTGTAACATTCAGCAAAGGATCTGGCTAAAAAATATATAATAATGCCAAAACTGAGCGTTATTTGATTGAGCGCTAACACGTTTGAATTTGCCGCTAGAGGCGCTAGTTTATTTTCATATAAACGACTTTGGTGTTGAATGTTTATTGGGCATTCTCGACATTTTTAATAAATTGGTTTATAGTATAATTTAAGTTTACTCGTAGTAAAACAGCTTTGACAGGATCTCTCACGACTGTCGCGCCATCTACGGAGCAAAAAACGGTAGCTCTTATTTCTCTCGTTACTCACTTTCATAACATGTTCACAGCGGCGCGAAGTGTCAGTGTGTTGCCTCCTCAGTTGATTCAGCTCATGCAGTGCTTTTTCACATTGCTGCTTCAGACCTTCGTTAGTTTGCTTGTTGATGACGTCGTACTGTCCTAGGGGTTCGTATGGGCCGCTCATCACGTGCCCACTATGCCCCTTGTAGTTGTTATCGTAGCACTGGTTACCAGCTAAAACGTCATATTCAATTGGTATACTGGGTATTTGCGGTCGCTCGCTGCTCACATAGCTATGTGATATCGATTCTGCAACAAAATATCAATATTAAATTATTAAAACATTGACACTATATTTCATGCTTATTATTATTAATGCTATATTAAAATAACTAATACTAATATATTACAATATACATATTTGGATCTATAATTTTTCTTTATGTGAGCAATAAAAAATTATATAACTATAGGATATACTTATATACCTATAGTTATTTCTTACAACTTGTTATAGTGTTTTAAATATGGTTGCCTATAAAATTTTATTTATTTTCTTGAATGTTTTTACTGATTTTCTTGTAAGGTGCCAATTATTAGATACATAAAACGATTCTTTCTCACAGGGAAAGAGTTGAGGTCTTGATATTCCTTACGTAAGATTAAGAAACAGTTAACATTATACTTTGGTACCTACAAAACAATTTTTCGCAAAAAAAAAGGTTTCTTTATTATATATTTTATTCTTTAGATCACGCAATAATTTATTGTTAAGGATTCCGATACGATGCCGCATCGCAGGTGGCAGAGACTTGCGATAGTAATTTCAGTGATACGATTTTGTTTATCAAAACGTTAGTTCAGGTGACGATATTTTCAACGGTAGTCACGTTATGTACAGTAGTTGGGTTCATCCATTTGAATATATCCATCCGAAAATAATAAATGGTTTGAGAACAGAAGATAAAGCGTTTGATTATTTTAAAATTATTAATTATTTAAGTCCAGTATCTTGCCGTTACGTTGTCTCAGAGTTGACTAGTGTCACCAAATGTGATGTAACATCACGCAGGAATGCACAATGCCAATCAAGTCAGAAGTTCTTGCGGTGCATTCGTACGAAATCGCAGATATTTGCTGTGATGGTTTCCCAGTTATATGTGGGAAGAGCAAAGTGGGAATAAAACTTCAATCAGTGCCAGGTAATATGAATACTTAGTTGCAGAAATACCGTATTTGTGCAAGCGCACAAAAATCAAACCACATAAACTCCACTCTGAGGAGTGAAACATCCTGCAATGAATTTGGTGAGTATATCCTTCCACAAAGTGACTGTGTCAAATATCTTGGTTTCTACCTTGATAAAAGGCTCATGTGGAAAGCACATAAAGAAGAAAAGAGACCAGATCAATTTCAAACATAAAAACTTTTAGTGGTTAATTAGTGGAAATTCTGTCTTAACAGTGGTCAACAAACTCCTTTTCTATTACAGTATATTGAAACCTTATGGACTTATGGACCTACAGCTTTCAACTCTGGGAAATGATTAGCAATAATAACGTGATGTGTATTTAAAGAATCCAAAATAGTATTTTCAGATACATAGTGAAAGCACCATGATTTACACAAAACAGAGAAATAAACCACACCTGAACACCTCCACTGTATTAGAATTCCAAAATTACACAAACCAATTAGCTGCAGAGTTATTAAATAATGTGGGCTTAGTCAACTGGCTAAGAAGCAATATAATTTAGTAGAGCAGCTGTGACTATGGCCCTAAATCCTTAAATGCCTTATTTATTTTCAAATAAATTGATAATTATCCTAGTGGTTAATTGATAATTGTATCAATGGCAATTTTTAATATTTAAACAAAAAATGTGTGGTTGTTCTAAGCAGGAGAGAGAGTCAACAAATTCTTACTTTTTTATTACAGAGTGGAGGAGTGAAAACTTGGTAATAGTTGTTTAATCTGATGAGCATCCTTTCAAGTTCAATGGTTATAATTACAAAAAAAATTATAGATAATGCTGCTTAGCATTATCTATTTTTTTTTTGTAATTATAGCTAGTATAGGCTATATTCTTCATAGTTATTTGTTTCATATAATGTAATATATGCTAATAACTCTGCTTACTAATGTACAATTCAAAAAGAAATAACTGATCTTAAAGTTATATTTTATCTCAATACTAATTAGTACTTTTTTAATCAATGAAAGCTAAAAAATAAAACCCTTTTACAACTTGAAAGATTACTTTTACCAGTTTATACTCAATTGTTTATACTGTTTCTACCAATATAATAAAGATGATATACTTGTAAAACAACAATAGCTTGCTAGAGTAAGCTACTATAGCCAACTTACATAGATTCCATATTTATTAAATTAATTTAATTTAAAATTTAATCTCATCTCAAAGAACCAGGGACAAAGTAGATATTTTAAGCATTTTTCATTAAGAATAACATATCCCATTTAAACTGATGATTCACGCAATAAAGTACTAACCATTACTTCCATTACTCTCCAAGGATGATGTTCCAGATGCCATATCTCTGAAACTTAAATCATATAGCAATCTAAATATGGTTAGATTACACACAATAACATCTAGAGTTTATTACTAAAAGTCAAATGAGTTTGATTTGCAGTTGATTTTGAGCATTCCTTTCTAGGACATAGATTTAAAGTCAATTTTATTCATTTTGACTAGCTTTATGTGATGTCAATTGAAACATTTATTCACTTTGTATGATAAAACCAATTCGCAATGCTGAACCACTAGCAATTAAAAATATTTTACAATGATGTAGACTGGAAAGGTCACATTTATTTTTTGTGGTTAAAAAAGACAAACTATAAAAAAAAATCTAAACAGTGATTTTGGATGTTAGCATTGCATTTCCAATAATCAGACGACTTTATCTGAGAATGTCTTCTCAATAGGTTTTATATATTTTTTCAATCACCAAACAATGATGTATCTAATACTAATGAAACTTAACAAGGACAAAATATATTTCACAAAATTAAAACTGTTTTTAATAATTTTATTCGTAATAAAAGTAAAAATTATTTTTGGTGCTAAATAGTGATAAATTACCTTAGGCTAATAGCTGTCCATTGTCTAGTATGAACTGTAACACCTGTTAATAAAAACTATGTGTTAATTGAAGGCATTGGCTTTATCTTGTACTGAGGGTGGAAGCTTGACACGTTTTCTACGCTCTAATGATTGTTGCAAAACTAAGCCGCAGACTCGTAGGTACACTGTTGCAACTTCTAAGACAGGATGAAAGGGCCCTACGGCAACAAACCACAAATCTCAAACTATGACATAACAGTACACGGACATGGTCCATCGATGCCAACAATGAACACTATCAAATCACTTAACGAGTACCGAAAATGCAACAAAAACTCCTTTCGCCTACAAAATTTATTCCACGGAGATAGAATAAGGAGACAATTAACTTCACAATGTAAACAACGAATAGTGTTTAACAACAGGCACTGATTTACATATACCTTATTACTTTCAATCGTATAGTCTATAGCAAAACTAATAGGAATAAAAAGTTAACACGTATTTTTGCAAGAGCAATTTGCCAACATTTCTTATTTTCTACCCTTTTAATAAAACGAGAACACAAGAACGAATGAAAGAATGAATGATCGATAAATGACTGACAGATAATATTTGGAGGCCCATGGCTCAGACGAACATTTCACGATTACAACCTTAATTTTGATTATGACAAATGATAACAGTTTTTTTTATGGCAAGCATTTTTGCCGTTTAATCAGCGCTGCCTCCGCTACCCATATCCTCTCAATTTCTTTTATTTCTAATGTAATTTTAATTAAGCGCAATTAAATAAAAAACAAACATAAACAATTTTTTTTATTTGTAATGAGGAAGTATTTTAAAAATAAACAGTAGTTCCTGAAATCAAACTAGATGTCACAAGCAATGTTCGAATAATATTCATTCAAATTTTGTTTCTGACGTAATAAAAGTAAATCGAGTATCAAAATTAATAAATATGACATCTTGTCATATTTCTTGTAGTAACACACATCAGCAACTGCTCATTCAATTGCTTCTGAGCAGGCCTCAATTGTATCCTCAGAAGTGCTCAACACGCCCGAAGGGAAACCGTAGGATAACAAAATCAACTAGCATACACCCCAAAACGGCACCAATACTCTGCCTGAGCAAGATTGGACTCTTGTGGGAAGGAAGAGCGGAAAGGTGACACAGGAAGAAATTTCTACTGCCGCTGCTCAAGCTCCAAGAAGTCCAAGATGAAGGAGAATCAGAAGGTAAGGATGGTTGCATCAGCCAGCAACCGAATTATCCCGACCATCGGCACGGTACATGGAACGCAAGGGGGAGCTGACGGTGGAAAGAAACACCAAAGCAACCCCAAGTGACACCCACTACCAACTGGAGCAAGGAGCTCCGAACGTATGGGGGAGCGAAAGGCTCTATGTTGTCTGATCAACCCCACATAGAATGGGTACCCTTTTCTTTTATGGGTACCCTTTTGGCAGTAAGAAGGCCAAAATAGAAGTGAATCAAAGGCGAAGTCTAGCGCCAAAAGGGCACCACTCGATGAGACTGTGTCTCCTAGAGAAGAGCCAGGCAAAAGACTGAGTCGGCAACCGAATCCAACCCCTGCCCCATCAATATCGCTATGTGACCGATGACCCATTTCTTTTGTTAAAAGACACCTGAGGGCCTTGACAAAAGTAGCATGGGGTAGATGTTATGAGAGCGAAAACGCGGCGACCACAACGAAGGTCTTCTTCCAACAGCACAGTTGTTGACCGGGCATGGTTCTACCTCCACAAATATAAATGTAAGGACATCCCATATTGTGAGTGCGATCCTGACGCAATACAAGATATTTTCCATGTAATATTAGAATGTCCAAAATACAATATAATAAGGCACACTATACAAAGTAACATAAAACACACACTCAGTAAACAAAACCTCAATAAAATAATGGAAGACAGTAAAGATAGAGAGATATTCATAAAGAGCACCAGAGAATTGATAATGAAAGCAAATGAAATTAATAAATATTAGAATGTTAAAGGTTAACGACAGAATAACCTGTGATATTAGTTTTAAGAAAAGAACTGTAATAGTAAATAGTCAAATAAAAATGTACCACAGATAGAAGTAATCAAAATGTTAATAAATACTAACATAGCATAAGAAACACAATGTAACAAACAAAAGCAGCATATGAAAAAATATACATACGCATGGCTGACGCCAAAAGAAAAGAATATATAAAGGTGAAAATAATAACACCATACAAGTAATACGGCAAAAAATATAGCCCAAATAATATAAAAATCCCTGGTTGGCTGTATCATTGATACAGCCATATTTTATGCGTGGATACGTCTATGTATGAATGGATAAATGAGTAATTGATAAAAAAAAATAAACAAATTGAAGACACTAAACACTAAATAAATAAATATTCGTTGCGTTCATTTGTTGAATGAAAAAAGTATTCACTAGCGCCAACAGATGGCGTTAGTGCATATACTCATGCTGACAGAATGCCCCTCCCCCTGCAGAGCAAGCATAGTTCACTTATACGCCAATAGATGGCGTTAGTGCATATACTCCTGCTCACAGAATGACCCCCCTGTAGAACGAAAACATAGACGTATCCACGTCAAAAATAAATAAATAAACAAATTGAAGACACTAAACACTAAATAAATAAATATTCGTTGCGTTCATTTGTTGAATGAAAAAGTATTCACTAGCGCCAATAGATGGCGTTAGTGCATATACTCCTGCTGCAGAGCAAGCATAGTTCACTTATACGCCAATAGATGGCGTTAGTTCATAAGCTCCTGCTCACAGAATGACCCCCTGTAGAACGAAAACATAGACGTATCCACGTCAAAAAAAAAAAAACAAAAGTCCTGTTAATCAATGGGGAACAAGTCATTTAAAAAAAAACCCGCCCCATCTCTAAATCCTACGCCTCAGTTGCATTAAGTACTAGAAGAACCTTGATATCGAATGTTAAGAATTTTATAAGCCATTTCGATGTTCGATCTCAATCCAGATTCTTTAATCTCAATTTCATCAAATCCGGAAAGTGTGTCCACGCATCCCTCTCGCGGTCATCTGTACCCAACTGTCATGATCACCAGCCGCTGCTAAAGCTTCTCTATTTTCATACACTCGAATCCATGCAGCACTAAAAGTATAAATACAGCAGTATGACCGTGACCGCTTCTAATCAGATCTTGGAGTGTTATCCTGTACGGATGCTGTGGTTGACTAATATCAAAGATTTCGTCTTTGACTTCGTCGTCATTGACAGGTTCGGCGCCATGCACGACCATTTGCTCTTGAATCGCCTTAAACGAGTAATTAAGAGTGAACACCTGCGAGTTAATATTCAGCACCCTGGGTAGGCGAGTGCCACCGGCTGCTTCCTGTTCTCCAGAGCTTGTAGTCCATCTCGCCGTCATACGTGAGACATTGTTGGAACACTCGCTTGAGGAACGAACGAGTTAACGTGCGGAGCCGTACCCTGGCAATTCATTGATGCTCTGTGTGACGCTGTGATCGCGGTCTAAGTCGAGATACTGCCCGTACACGCGCAGCGTAGACGCTGCACTGAACCAGTTATGTTCCTGAAAAAAATATTATTATTAGTAAGTCTTCTGCCCGTAGCTCAAGTAAATCATACAAGAAGGAACACGAAAGAATATTTCTGATCCTCACTCGGCCGACCCTTAAGGATTTAAGAAGAATAGGAACTTCCTAGCTGCAGTGCACACATAAAACGAGCAGAAGGAGAAATCCAGCTCTCGGAGTCTCGACAAGATCGATGACGATATCCACCTCGATGGAGCACCGGCCCGCTTCTTTATTGTCCAGTTTATCCGCAATATGAAATTGACGCAGATCTCACATCACATGAATCAGGAAACACAACAGACACACGGTGAAAAGATTTAGTCATCCAGATAAGTATTACAATGTTACACTTTTCGTGGATGGCGTTCAACTGCCCTCAAGTTTCATTAAATAAAACTTGCGGGCACAGAGTGCATGTCAGCTCATAAAAATGGCTGCGATTTGTTCCTGTATAATGACGAAGTATTTAAAAAATAAAAATTAGTTTTTGCAATCGAACTAGATGTCATTAGTGATGGTTGGATCTTGTCTATGATATTCATTCAAATTTTATTATATTTGATTAATTTAGCATTTGCAATGCCATACTGAAAATTATTCTTAATACATAATGCTTAAAAAATCCACTTGATCCCTGGCACCTGGCAATTTTGTTTCTGATGTATAAAAGTAAATTGAGTGTCGAAAATTAATAAATATGACATCATTTCGGGTTTTTTATAATATCTAACTTTCAAATTAATTTTATTTTAATCGTAAGCTTTAGTTATTTAGTATGTTACGTGTGAAGGAACGATGTTTGGTTTATATGTCAACATTAGTGATGAGCCAACTTATTGGTTGCTTGTAACTTAAATTGGCTCAATTCATCCTAATTCAGGTTTGAAATCAAGAACAAAAAGCGAGGCGCGTAATTCAGCTTGTTTTCTTATGTGCCATATTTCCATATGTGCTTTAATGCATCCACATGTTGAATTATATTAATATAAATATTAAAATCAATTCAGTCTAAGTTGTTACATAGTACCTGTGAAAGTCAAAAACTTTGCCAAAGGTTCGCAAAACTAAGGGAGGAGATCTTGTACTGAGAAGAACCGGCAAGACATTCAGCAAGGGCTACTTTTTTCTTCCTGTTTTATTTCACACAGTGAAGTCTTATTGGAATGTGACTTAATGAGACTATGAAGTCATTTTCCATTACAATATCAGAAATCCTACATACTCATTGACAAATCAATAGACACTATTCATAATAAAAAATGGACATAATTAAGTAGTCCAGTGCAAACTCAACCCCAGCTGGCAGCACCTGTTTACGAGCTTGACACATGATTCAGCCATTGCTTCGCTCATCTATATTTGAGGGAACGTAACGCTAACGACCCGATGCACACGACACCACCGCAAAGATTTTTAAGAGAGCATGACTACTCTAGGTCCTTTATAAGTAATATATTTCAATAAAACTGATTTCTAGAACTGATGGTTGTGTAGGAAGTCAATTTATCATTGACAATATTATTGTAAGAACCAAAAAAGAAAATATCCATCGTGCAAATTAACATAACACCTAGCTCGACGTCCGCCGTCGACAAGCAAGTTCAGTAGCAAAAGTATAATAACTGTACCTGTCTTTATGATTTCGAAATTTAAAGTATTATCGTTTTTATCGTATTATCGTTTTTGTGACCTTTGTTGCTGATTAATAAACCCATTTCATACATTCACCAAATATAATATAAAAAAGTATGATTAGACTTGATGTAGTTTTGTTGTTGTAAGTTCAACAAACAACTACTAGCAACAAAAGTAACTTACCAAGTTGTTTTTTTTTTCAGAACTTTTGTTAAATAATATAATGAAAAATTCCTAGACCTATGGCATAAGTATTTTATTTATAAAAACTATTTCACGGCAATGTTATTGTAAACCGTAGCTAAATGCCAATTTTAATTATTTCACAGCATTAATTCAATTAATTTTCATAAATTTAGAAAACCTTCTCTGAGCTCACTTCCATTATGTTAGTTTCCACTTTCGTTGAAACTAACATAATGGTATCCGAGTTATCAGATCCATAACAACACTGACATTTCTATTCTCTTTGGTTTAATAATAGAGAAAATTGAATAATCTTAACACAAGAAATAAAAATAAACTTGCCGTTCCAAGCTTCAGACTTCAAAAAACCAGAGGATCATTTCTGGGTAAATGTATTGCTATGTTCAATAAAGTTCCACAAAATGTAATTGACCTACCCATAAATAAATTTCAAATTCATGTAAAGAATATACTTATGAGTAAAGGCTATTATAAAGTTGATGATTATTTAAAGGATCGCAATGCATGGAATTGATATAAAGACTAATTATATGTTCAACCTATGTCCTACAGACTTTGAAAGTTGTATTTATTATTGTGATAATACATATTATTTTGGTAATGACAATATTTATGTAAATGTCATTACTTATGATAAAAAGCTGGTAAGTTTCTTTCGCTTGTTCTTCTTGTCAGCTAAAAGACGTCCTGAACAAGTCGTAGGGGAAAAAAATTTTTTTTGGACGATTCAAAAGTGCTTGTAATAGCCTACTTGAATAAAGATATTTTCATTTCATTTCAAATAAAGGATAGGTTTAAAGTCCTGAATTGACATTAAGATCCGACAATTTGTGCTGCCATCTTTCACCCTTACAGAAACATCGATTCAGAGCTATTTAAATATAGAACACTATAGTTCATATTTTGATATTTTATGATTAATATATGAATGAGGAAGTATTAAAAAAAAAACATTAGTTTCCGAAATCTAACTAGATGTTACCACGGTACGTTCTTGATTTCTCCATGACAACCTTTCCGGTTTTCTTTCATTTATTCTATTTGTTCTTTTTCGTATTTGTATTGATATCTAAGTTTCGAACTTTCAAATATCAGTTTTGTAATATGTTAGTTAAAAGGAACGGAAATGACTGTCTGTGGTCCATTCGTTTCCTGTAAAACGTTTTATGTGATTTTATTATATTTATAATGGATTGCAGTTCACTTGTGATAATACCCGTACGTAAATAATAAAAAGTTAAGTGATAAAAAATGGCTTTATAAACTTGACGCTTGTTTAAAGTTACTTCGTTGGTTTCATTAACACCTGCCCAGTGGTGGTTAAATTAACGTCCACCGTGTTTATTAATTCGCTTTTTTCTCTTGACGATTAACACTGCTAAGTAGGTAAACGCGAAGGCGCTAAGAATTTCACGCGCTAATACGATTGATGCGTGAAATACTAAAACGATTCAACGACCAAACGAACGAACGAAACAAGACCACGGCCGGCCGCGCAGTTAACGCGTGAGCGCGCGATCATTGGCAGACGTGTCATTGTTAATGCCTGGATCACGGAGCACTAAGTAGGTAAATTAATACGTGCGATCCTATCTCCTGTGTTCTAACAAAGCCTACTAAGTCGATATTTTAAATACTTTAGATTAGAAGGGTAATTATGTGTTATTTTGTGTATGTTTAAAGAAGTTTGTATGTACAAACGGTCGATAAAAACCATTGTATTGTGAATAAAATATATGATAGCAAATGTACATAAAATCAACTAACTTTTAAATACGCGTTTAAATGAATTATAGATAGTCCTAATCTTGGAAACTATGAAGGGGACTTTATCGATTTTCTTTTAATTTAGTAAATACTGCTATAATTTATTTCGAACTATTTAGACTAAACAATAATGAGATATTATTTAATATAGCACGTAATCTATTTATCGTACAACATAAAATAATTAACGTGTTACAAGGTTTAGTGTGTTACAAAATTGAACGAGTCTTCAAGTACCCTTACGCTTCTTTGAATTTACGCGTTAATAAATTAGCGCCTTCATTAACATTAGTCTATCATTAGACTATAGTGCTTTAAAAATTTTTTGTCGTTTTGAACACCTCTGCATCTGTCACAGAGATCAAGCTATATTTTATGAACTATAATATAATATCAACTAATGTTGATGAATATAAAAATTATAATTATAATAGATACAAAAATACTTGTGTTTTCATATTTATCCCTGTTTTTCCCTACATGTCGGTTGACGTCTGTGACTTCCTTTAGATAGAATAGTGAATGGGTCTTTGAAAGAGTTTTCTCGTCTGTGGTTACTAGATTTTTCGTTTCGATTTCCAAAGAGAATTTAATTTCGTTTCGTTCGTTCGTCGTACAAAAATGACACGCAATAGCGAGAACCAATAAAAAACGACGAACAAACTGATGAGTTTTTATAAATCAAGTGATCGAACATACAAATAAACAAGTAATTTCGATTTTTCGAATACGCCAACGGATAAGTTTAACAATAGTGTGGGACACTGGAGCAGATTGAATGTTTTGGTGTTGCAAAGCATGAGCACGGCGTGACTTCCATGCCCTGCGTGCTACGGATTTACGGAAGGGCGTGCGGTGCAGATTACGTTTATTATGAATGATTTTATCTCTTTCTAAACTTGAGTGACTGTGAATGACCGTGTGTAATACCGAGCGTACTAAATTATGGATTGAATAATGTTTGTTGTTAGTTTTTTGATGATGAAAGATAAATAATTTTCCCATAAAGTGTTATCGCGTCGCCCCGTGTCTCGAATTCGTGGCGCTCACCAGTAGTCATATGGCGCAAGCAGATCTACGCTGGATGAAAGAGATTCGTTACGCTGTTAGATTTATCATGTGTGCTACTATTTACGCACTATACGAAAAGGATAGTACGTATTTTTAGTTGCGTCGCGCATTCGACAGTGGTAGCGTAGGTTCGACAGTCCGGGTGACTTTCATCAGCGAAGTAAACAACTTCAAGGTTATCGGTTGGCATGTACCAGTGTTAGTCGGGGAGTGGGATGCGGGTGCGCTAATATGTCGGCTGACACGGCTGGTGGGGGCGCGGGCGCCGTGGTGCGCCAGGGCCACCTTCGGAAGTTGCGGAAGATGAAGAAGAAATATTTCGTGTTACGCGCTGAAACTGCTGATTGCTCAGCTCGCCTCGAATATTATGAGTCTGAGAAAAAATTTCGCGCAGGGGCACCGCCACGTAGAGTGTTACCCCTCAAGAGTTGCTACAATATTACCAGGAGATTAGATCTCAAGCAAAAACATGTCATAGCACTATTTACCAGAGAGGAGCAGTTCTGCATTGTTGCTGAAAATGAGCAAGAGCTGCACTCATGGCTCACTGCTATACTCAAACAGCATCGTTCCGATGATGCCAGTGCAGAACTACTACATCCAATACGTAAGTGTATACTTAACTGCTTTTATTGTTACTAGTGTAGTAAACATGTTGCACAATGATTTATAAAGTGCCTGACTCAATAGAAAAAACAAACAACAATGATTTGTAATTATGTCCAACAACCTTAATTTCATTAGTGTTTCCATTTTATAAACAAGTAATGAACTATAATTGTGTCTGTTGAGTTGCCAAAGGCTCAACAAAACTTGTAAAAACATTTTAAAAACCGGTAATATAATTTATATGTTGTCTATATAAATATTTTCAAGTTTTCTTGAAAGTATTTATACATATTACAACTGTTTATCACAAAAGCCACTATTAGGTAGAAGATACCACTTTTAATTTTTTCGAAATATTTTCTATGAAATTTTTGATTTAATATTTGCAACAAATAGGATTTGTAATGTAAAATAAAAGAGCAAAAATAGGTTCATTATACTGCAGTTAAGTAAGTGGCATGCATGCCAGTTTCAAGGCGTCAATGTCTTGATGTCAATTCCCGGTTGTGCCAATGTAATTTTTCTATTCTCTTGAGATGGGGTGGGTCCTGCAGCTATTTAAGTGGGAACTGGGCAATGTATTGCAATATTATCTAATGTTTACATTTATAGCTAATTCAGTAATTTATAAAGTTAATTTATATTTAAAACAGTTATGAGTTATCAATTAAATGTTCATTATTTATTTAATGAAAAACTTTATTGATATAAAAATCACTGAAGCATTTATATTGATTCTTATTATATTTGATCAATTTTGTATTCACAATGCTTTACTGGAAACTATTATAATGAAAAATGCTTAAAATATCCTATCTTAGAGCGCCAGGGACGAAGTGATTTTTTTAACTATTTTTACTTAAGAACAGTTATATATTTTTTTTAGCTTTTAATATTGTAAACTGATATCTGCAAAGCAATAAAATATATGCTCAGTAATTTTGCCTATTTTGTCAGCAGTTAAAACTGATATAATATATATTTTCTTCATATTTATGAGAAAATAAAATTTTATTACTGACAGTCAATTAAAAAAAAAACACAAGCTGCATAAACTTCAAATAATAGATTGAAATATTTTAACTAGCAAAATGAAAACATAATACTTAAGTTCAAGGTAAGGTGCTGGTCAATGAACCCACAATGATATCCTTTTATGAGTAAACAAGGTCCCCATCATCTATCACAATTAAGTGAGCTACTCACTCTCATATTTAGTTGTATTCAATCAATAAATGGAATGAAATTGCTAAACAATGTGTTTATTAGCTAGGTAAATGAGGATAGTTACATTCATTCGTAAAAAACTACAAAGAGCTTAATATTATTTTAGAGGAATTAATTCTTCTTGCTTATTCAGAAAATATAATTTCTGTACAAAAAAGTATACAAGTAGCTATTAATTCCATAGCAAAAAAAAAAATTTTGTCCTATCAAACTGTCTATATGAAACTATAGTGAAATTAAGATAAGAAACATAAACTTATCAAATTATAATATACTGGAGTAACAACATTAAAACAGGAAACAAATTAAAGTTAGATTTTCTAAGTGTAGTTTATTTTAGAGAGGCACTACAGAATTGGCACCATTACCTCGGATTTACATAAACTAAACAACTAAATAGAAAGTATTCTGCCCTTTACATACATGCTGTGTTTATAGTAAAATTTGTTTCAAGTACATATTGCAGTTGGTTTAGACAAAAAAGAAACTTTAGTTGATTTGTAAACTTAAGAATAAAATAATTGCCTTATTTAAAATTTCTATGATTATCTAAAATCTAAAAATTAATTGAATAATTCAATAAATTTTATGACTAAGTATAATACAATGACAATGACTAAGGCATACATTTTTAGTGTTTCATTTACATTAGACAAATATTTCATTACAAAAAAATTTAAGGCAAATTCTTTTTTAAAAGCCATTATTTAACCACTCTAAAAAGATGAAAATAAAATATTCCTTTAAAATTTTAACTATCAAGTTATAACCTCATTATACACAATGTATATGATCATGAAAGCTTGTTGCTTTAAAATTTCGATTGGAATTAATATTGATTGATACTTAAACCTTGCAACAAGTTTCTATGATCATTTAAAAGCTGGTCACAAGGTTATAAGAAGCCATTTAAAATTTAAAAAGAAAATTAATAAATTTAAATTTAATTTAATTTTCTTCTTTTTAGTGTTATTATAAAAGTTTCTTTTCCTTTAATTTATTTTTTACTCTTTAGTTATAAGTGGCTAGGTTTCTCAGTCTTTTCATTTCATTCAGAACATCATTGTTGCAAGGTTGTTTGCTGGTTAATTCTGTAAATTTTTTTAAAGCATAAAAAACTTAAGTAGCGTACGGCACGCTTTGAAATAGAGTGATGTTACATTATTTTTCTAGTTTTTTTATTTGATACCATATTGTAGAAGTGCATTAAAAATAATTATGTTGATGTATTTTACTCAAGTATTTACGTATCCTTCCAATTACTCAGCTTACTGGTATAGGAATGATAGGTACAGTGCCCATTTGTGTTGCTTGTGATCCTCTGCATACTAGTTCATCAGCTGCATTATTTGCATGTGATCCACCATGTTCTTTTATCTATTGGATAGTAATTATATTGTAGCAAACTCAATCGGACAAAACTTCCTTTGAGAGCCTGTAGGACTAGTCTTTTGAGAGTAGCCTCAATACTGGTGAAGTTGATTCTATCAAAAGCACCTTCGATATTATGGGTTTGTTGTGAAGGGCCATTTATATCTTAGCAAATAGTTGATGGAGGGCCAATTCTGTAGATTTATCTGCTGAGTAAGCATGTTGATGTTTATGTATCAGAAAAGTGTTCACTGCTCCACTTCGTACATGTCAGTCAGATAGTCTTTCCAGAGTTTTGAATAGGAAAGATGTTAGACTGATTGGCTGGAAAGATTTGGGGTTAGTATAGTTGGATTTTCCCGGTTTGGGTATTAATATTTATTTATTTATTAGGTAACGCAACAGACATTAATCAAAATTTATATGTATAATAAGTAACAACTGTGTAGTATAAATTAATATTCTAAAGGTGTTTACACAATGAGATATGATAAAGATTTTTTTTTACTAATATGAAAAAACAGAAAGAAGAAATATATATTAATCTGGATGGTTAAAAAGATGCGACATTTAGGTCTACCACAACTTTTTAATACAGTTTTTGAATTTAAAGAGAATGGCATTAAATATGTCTAATGCCTGATTATCTGGGAGGTTCTCATTATAATTTCTACACATACGAGCGATGGGTTTATGATAAGATATATTATTTCTATATGTTGGTGTGAAAAAAGTTGGAAGCCTGCATCTTGCATTATATTAGGTCCTTACATATGAAATTGGTGTTTGGTATGGAAGGAACAAAAAACCCGTCCACGGGTATTGTTCTGCAGGTCGAAATTTCCAGAACGAAAACGTTATAACCAAAACTCACTGTGTTTTCTTTTGCGACACAACCGCCGTAAACATCATTAGCCCTTCGGACCGTTTCCGCAGCAGTACTAGTGCACACGGTGAAACTCGTATCGAAAATAACACGATATTTCAAGTTTTCCATTTTTTATACGGGTTGACGTAAATAGGACAAACAGAAGAAAAAAATAAACAAACGAATGCTGCCTAACGAAACACAAATACATGTGGAAATGGGTGTTCAGTTTGGGCAAGTTTCCTCATAGCATTCAAGGATGCGGAAACCATACGAGGGTCAAACTGAAAGTTCTTAGAAAATCAAAAACTGATTACATTAGCCAGTTATTAGTTTTATTATATATTTTCAAAATATTGTCCATTCACGTCAATACACCGCTGCATGCGATGGAACCACTGGGAAAAACACTTTGCCCACTCGTCCTTAGGGGTCTCTTCAGTGGCATCGCGATACGCAGCCACCGCTTCTTCAGCATTCATAAACCGCTTTCCTTTAAGTTTTTCTTTAATTTTTGGAAATAAATAAAAATCACAAGGCGCGAGGTCGGGGCTATACGGCGGGTGACCCAGTAATTCAACGTTTGATGTCGCCAAATAGTCGATCGTTCGCTTGGCGGTGTGCGACGAGGCGTTGTCGTGGTGAAGGAGGATCCTACTGCGAGGTCGTTTCTCTCGAACTTTTTCCAAGACAAGTGGCAAACAATTGGTAGTGTACCATTCTGCAGAAACTGTTTTTTGATCCTCTAACACAATTGTTGCAAAATGACCTATCCTTCCAAAGAACGAGGCCACCATTTTTTTTCCCGCACTTCGATCTCTCTTCACTTTAGTTGGCAACTCCTCGAAAGGAAACACCCACTGAGCAGATTGTCTTTTGGTTTTAGGATCATAACAGTAAATCCAGCTTTCGTCACCTGTTAGTATGTCGAACACAGCATTTGAGTCACCTCCGTTAAATCTTTCAATCATTTTACGACACCAATCCACACGATGGAGTTTTTGAGCCTCAGTCAAATTGTGAGGTATCCACCGGGCGCAAAGCTTCCTGACCGCTAAATGTTCGTGGAGGATTTTGTGCACTTGACTCATACCGATGCCTAAGCTTGTCCGAATCTGTTGATAGGTCACTCTTTTGTCAGTCTCTATCATACGCCGCACAACACAGATGTTATCTTCAGTCGTCGCCGTAGAAGGCCGTCCCTCACGTAAATCATCAGTGAGATTAGTGCGACCACGTTTAAACTCATTAAACCAGTTGTAAACAGTCGCACGAGATGGGGCTTCATCGTGAAAGGCCAATCGTAGTCTATCATAACTTTCTTGTTGACTTAAATGACATCGAAAGTCATAAAAAATCATTGCACGAAAATTTTCTCGTGTTAAATTCATGATGACGTGACACAGACAATTTTCAATTTGCCGCCAAATCGTAAAACAAATGACAAATGAATGAAATATATACTCAGTAATATTGGCAAAGAGTTATATTTTCAAATTTTAGAATTATTTTTTTATTATATTGTTTATAAGTGGCCAGTTCTAAGAACTTTCAGTTTGACCCTCGTATTAACCTGTTGTTCTATTACACAGATTCTATAGTTGTTGTAGCTCGTGCAGTTTCTCTGACACCAAACGATTGTAGAGGTTTTTATCAGTTTTTTGGGGTACAACTCCGTCTTTTGCCTTTTCGGCTTTCCTCTCGGAGACTCAGTCTTGTCGTGTTGGGCCCTCTTAGCGCTGGTCTTTGCCCTCCCTTCCCCTTCCCTTTCCCTTTGGCAGTGGGCAGTCCCTTCCGTCAGGCAGGTCTCCCTGCTTTCCACTTTTCGCTCCCCCTTGCGTTCCTTCCAAGAGGCAGCTATTCGGGATTCTCTCCTGCGGTGCTTCTTCTTTTACATCCTGGCCTTCTGAATCTCTTGGTGTCCATGTTGTGTATGTTGTATAATTCATCCAGTCCGCTTCGCACCCTCCACGGAGCCCGCATATCCTAGGGAGTGTCCTATAAAAAGGTACACTAGGACTACAGACTGGATATAGATGTAGGGAGTTAGTATTCAGGTACGACATCGAAGGCTCGAAATGGGTGGTTGGGTTACCGGTTCAGAGTCCCCCAGACTCATCCTCACGTCGTCAGCATGTCTAATTATCTAGCACAGTTAACTGCGCCAGATCCCCCACATCTCGAAGCGGCCCTCTGACAGGACGCTTGGCCGTTTCCTCTCTGCCGCTACCCAAAGAGGCTACCGTTTCGGTTGAACTCCATCCCCTCTCTCCTACACCCCCCCATTACGGCGATCGACTGCGCAGGCGTTAGCGCAGGAGGGGCTAATTAGTTTAGAACCGAGGCTTTTGTAGGTCAGCCTAGGGAGTTTATTAAAAGGAGAAGAGTATCAAGGTAGGAAAAAGTTTATACAGCAGAGGATCATAGGACACAGAGGTTATGAGGATTCCCTTACCGTGTTGAAGCACACTGAAAGGTATGGCAGATGATTCCGTTACTTGGAACCCAGGGTAGATGGTGTCGTGCGACGCCTGTTAATAGTTCCAAGTATTACCGAGGTGAACGACGTGGACGTACACCTGTCACTTGACGGTAGGTATATCTGGCTCAACACCGCACACTTGAACATACACCAGCTGGCCTTCACCTCTTAGGGTAAAAAAATAAAATTAAATAAAGCAGTATAAATATTTTAATTTTTTACGATACTTAGTGAGAGTTTGAATAAAAATATAATTTGCAAATGTATTTTTATTATGATGATTGCATCATGTGACATATACACCAGAGTGTGTGTAAGTATTTTGTTTGATGTGTATGCAAATATTTTTTTTGGACACCAAACAAATGACCATTCTTATCTCTTTGTTGTTTGTCTGTCTGCCTATCACAGCAGATTTGCACCAAAACCATGGAGTCAATTAAACTGAAATATGGTGACATCCTTTGGTGGTGCAAATGTGTTGAAAGAAATTTTTAGGTTATAATTGGACATGATTGTTTTTGGTCACTTCAATTTGTTTGAACGAATCTAGTTTAGTCCACTAAGTATTTTTCTTGTCCAATTTATAATTTAACCATAATTAGGAATTCCTACCATTAGGCTTTATTCAGTGTTCCTCTTGTTAAAACGAATTACACTGCTAACACATTTTTATATAGAACTTGTAGTATTTATAATAACAAATTTAAATCGATTGACATTTTTAATAACAGCATTTATGTTTATTGGAAAAAGTTGAGAGAAATACTCAATGATTAATTTGTGTTTAATTATTTTTAGCAATTAACACGTTTCATGTTCTTGTGAATTAATTAATGGTGCTAACTTGATTTGTGACATTGTTTATATTATTTTATTTGATTGTGTAATAATATTGTTTGTTTCCCAAATACTTATAAAATAAAATCAAAATAAAATAAAACAAAAAAATTAAATAAATAGCTCATTTCAAGTATTTTATAATTTTTAGTCATTCATTTAACACCCCTTGGTTGATTATTAAATTATTTCGTTAATAGTCACCTATATATCATGATATTATATAGCCCATATAGGTATAGCCTTCATCGATAAATGGAGTATACAACAACAAAAAAAAAAACAATTCGAACCAGTAGTTTATAAAATAGAGTTCAATTAAACAAACAAACTTCAGCTTTATTATTATTATAAATTAGTTTTTAATAACAGTGAGATAGATGTTAATTAAATTTTGGTCACTAGACGAGGAATATCCTCTGTCAAACTTGCTTAACTTAAGCAATCACAGACCGCAAAAACACAATACTGCATCATTATGGAACCTCACAAAGAATTTTCGGATTAACGGTAATAACAATTAAATAGTATCCTAAGTTAATTATTAGTATGATTAATGTGTATTCATGGACTAATTATTTAATTCAACCGCAACACAACTGCAGCGGCCAGGTGCTCTTTCCACAATACATAACATTGCCTAACAATTATCTTCTTCATGAAATTTTCCAAGAATATTTTTATTACGTTTGATGTATTTTGGTGTACTCATTTCAAAAATAACACACATTTTCTATGGAATCGTAAATCAGAAAATGATTTAGAGTTATACTTAATTACTGATTTGAAACTTCTCCAGTGTTATTTATTAATAAACAAATTCTGGTATCAGACTAAATTTACGCTAAAATTGCAATTTTAGTATTAATCCAAACTCATATTATTCAGAGAATAAGCAAACTTACTACCTTCTATGAGTAAATTATTACTCCCGTAGAACCTTGTACTAGATTAACCTTTGTTATTGCTTTGTTTAATAATATGAATTTTGATCAATACTAAGTATAATCTCAGCATAAATTTATCTTTCTCCAAATTGCTGTGCCCGACGGGGTCCATAATGATGCTTTTGTTTTTTTTTTGTTATAAACATCTTAATACTACATTGTGGAATGCAATAAATAAATAAATACTGTAACGCTAAACCTTGTTTATTAATAACACAGCTAGGGTGTAACATGAGCATTAAACTACATTATTTATATTCTCATTTGGATCGATTTCTTGAAAATCTTGGAGGTTATAGTGAAGAGCAAGGTGAAAGGTTTTACCAGGATATTCGCACGATGGAAGAACGTTACCAAAACAAGGTGGAACATACATATGATGGCAGACCACTGCTGGCGCTTGTATTGTCGGGATCTAATACAGCCTCTTTCAAAAAATCTTACAAAAAGCAATTTTTTCCCCAAACACAGTAATCATTTCAAATGAAGTGTGTAAGAAAATCATCCATTTATATTTATACAACCTGTGTGTAAATTTAAAACTAGAGCTGCTAGAGAAAACCAATGGTATATTCATAACCAATACGCTTAATTTAACTAATTAGAAATATATTGGAAAAAATTTCAGTGTTATCCAATGTAATACAAAAATGTTTTTATGTTTTTTCCTTTAGTTATCAGTAATTCCTCTTTACCGTTATGGAATATGTATTTTGAGCTGCTAAATATAATTAATTAATATGCATTCGGGCAGTAATACAGATATGTAGGTACGAGTTACGAATCTGAAATATCAAATTTCATAAAATAATAAAAAATCCTAGATTTTTGTAGAGTTTCACGAGTTATTATTCAGTAATAAACTTTAAATAATTTGTGGTCTAATTGTAAGCGTGTCTGTTCGTACTGCTGCCACAGCCGCCGTCAGGACACAGACGGCGAACCGGACCGGTAATCTCTCTATGTGACTGAACTTAACATATAACTGTCATTATGCCTGCATCAATGTCTGTAAAATTATTCAGTGTAGAATAAAGCGAAAGCATTCCATGTATTACGGTCGGTAAAAAAATCTTCAACTCTATAATAACCTTTACTAATAAATATGTTCTTTACTTGATTTTGTCATACACGTGCCCATTGCGGATATCAGGTGCTGTCACACCTGTGACGGTGGGGCGAAACACATTGCTGGAGATTGCTTAATTTTTTTTTTCACAAAAGTAAAGTATAAGTATTCGTTATGAAAAACAATAAATATAGGTTTCTAATAGTAATATAGGTATTAACTTTCAACCATTACGATTTTTTTTTCGGAGCTTATTTTCACACCAACTTTTGAGATCTGCTGAGTCGCCTCGTCATATGATGCGCCACTTTAATAATGTTTGTAATTGACAATAAAATCTTTTATTTTGATCCATGGTTGAAACAGTTTGGTTGGACTATATGACACACATATAGCCTTTGTTATCTCATTTTAAAATTAACTATAATTTATTTTCCTCTTTCAGAACATGTGTGGCAAGTAAATGTTCAAAAGAAAGGTCTCGGTTCTTCGAAGAATATTCAAGGACTGTACAATTTATGTCTGACTGATAAAACTATCACCCTCGTGAAGATCAAGAGTCAAAACAACGTCATCAGCGATCTTGGTATACCAGAAAAGATTGAGTACTCTTTAAAAAATATTAGGAGGTAAATATGTATTTTATTTAAAACATTTAACAATTACACAATTTGCTTTATAAGTTCTTGAGAGATAAAAAAATTACCAATTCTATATTTATTTTATCATATCATCATCACCAGCCATTAATGCTCCCACGGGACAAGGGCGAGGGCCCAGTGCAGATTGGTGTTAGAATGTAGACGCTGCTGGGACCAACAGCTTGTTGACACACATTTTTCTACATTGACTTCTTCAGGAATAGATGATAAATTGATAAATATTAATTAATCTATTTATTTATATAAACTTGTTCTCATTTCCAGGTGTGGTGATTCCGAGTGTTTCTTCTACATGGAAGTGGGTCGACAAACATCCACGGGCTCCGGCGAGCTCTGGATGCATTCTGAAGATTCTAACATCGCACAGAGCATGCACTCCACTATTTACCTGTGAGTTGTTTAAATTAAATATGATATTTGATTAAAATAAAACTAAGTACCTACTCAAAATTATGAAAAAACATGCAAATATTTTTATGACAGAAATCGCTATAATATATAGGAGAGAGCATGAACGCTTATCAATATAATGGAACGCGCCGAAGGAGGCGAAAGAAACGAATTATAGAAAATCTTTATATGAAAATATGACGCCATGTAGGCGGCGCATCTTCAGAATTTTAATGTTAAGAGGTGGGCTGAAAAGTTCATAGGCCAGCACAGAAAAAAATATTTATTAGAAAAAAAAAGTTTTTATTATTCAATATAGTTCCCTTCGAGGGTGTTACAGCGATTGTAGCGGTCATTAAATTTTTCTATACCATTTTTATAATATGATTTGTCTTTAGCCTCAAAATAGGCTTCAGTTTGGGCGATCACTTCTTCATCGGAGCAAAGTTTCCGCACAGCAAGCATCCTCTTGAGGTCTGAAAACAGAAAAAAGTCAGCTGGGGGCCAGATCTGAAGGGTACGGTTTAGCGGAAGCAATTCGAAGAGTAATTCTTGATTTGTGACTGTTCCTCTTCAGATTAGGACGTTTTTTCGGGATTTCGTCTTTTTAACGCTCCTCTATGTAATAGTCGCTGTTTATGGTTTTTCCTTTTTAAGATAGTCAATGCAAATTATACCATGAGTATCTCAATATAGTGAAGCCAGAGTCTTGCCAGCGGCCTTTTGCGTCTTTGCAGGCTTTGGAGCAGGTCATCACGTGCAGTCCACTCATGTTACATGTTTCATCCATCGTCCCATATCGACGCAAAAATTTGGATTTATTGCGATTAAACAGCTCATAACACTCCTTCAAGTCATCGATTCGTTGTTGTTTTTGGTCGATTGTCAGTTCGCGCGCCACCCACCACGCCACTTTGCAAACAGCTTTCTTCACTTCACTTTGCGGTTATCAAAAAATATTTAGTGGACTTTTTGATGTTTTCGTCGGTAACAACCTCTTTGGAGCGTCCATTGTGGGCATCGTCCTCAGTGCTCATTTCGCCTAGTTAAAACTTAGCAGACCATTTATCTACGATTCGAATAGTATTTATCAAGTCAAGCATTTGTTTCAAAAGTTTTTCCATTTTTACAAAAGTTCTATTACTAAAAATTCTATAACTCTTTTACTTATTGTGCAACAGCTGTAAAATGTATACACTCGCCTTTTGAAGCTTAGGTTTAACTGAAAAAACATCGATTGGATACCAGTGGTGCCATCTATGGGCCAGCCTACGAACTTTTCAGCCCACCCGTTACCTGTCATTCGTTTGCGAGGAGTACAGAAAATTCGTCTGCCTGCTTCGTCTCTGTTAGACATGCGCGTACCTGTACGCACTATCCATTTACGTTAGGTTATTTAGGGGTGGGCGAACCACTATGTCTTACTTTTTAACAATTGGGATAGAAGATAACAATAATAAAGTGAAAATTATATTTAGAAAAAGCGCGGGCATCTGCAAGTGAGGAGGTACAAGCAAAACAAAATTATAATGTAATAATATTTAACAAGGGGAGGGGAGGAACTTTATAATCATCAACCGTACGAATTCCACTGCTGAGCATAGACCATAGATATCCAATATGAAAATTAAAATCATCAAATTCTTGTCCTGAACTTATACTTCGCAGTTGAGGAGCTTGAAACATTTGTTCTGAAATAAAAGTGATTTGAGGTCATTTCTTGTGAAGCGACAATTATTTAACAGTTAATAATATATTAATGAAGCAAAATAACCAACTTCTTTTTAATAATAATGATATATTTTATGATATGTTTTTTTACCACAACATTTTATTTATAAATACTCTCGTGCGATGTTTCAAAAATGTTGTTTGATATAAAAGTTATGTTTGATTAATCATATGACGTAAATTAAATGATTTCTCTCTTGGTAGTGCGATGCGGAACTGCGCTAAAGACAGTGAGAACGAGCGTGACCATATTGTATTGCCAAAGGGCGGTGATAACTCTGTAGGTTTGCCGCCGCGTACACAGAGTCTCACAGGCCGCCCGCGTCTCTCCAACGGTGAGTACAAAGCGATATACTACCTTATTAACATACAGCACATGAACTATTTTTCTATACACCATTATAATAAGAAGAATTTACCACTATTATTCGGACTTCATTCACTGCAAAATGAAAATCTTGAATGCTTTTTAGGATATGACAGTGCCGACGAATTCTCGATCTTATGTTTTTGAGTAAAGGGACTGATTTCGTATCTGTATTGTATTTGGCTATGGGAAATTATTTTATATATCAGAATCGAATAGTGCTCGTAATATTACACGATTTATTTTCGTAAAAATGTTATTTTATGTATCTAATAATTAAGACCGGTTGATTTGTTGTATTACACTATGAATTTTTGATTAATGAATTATCTTTTGGCTAGACAATAAAAAATACATCGTATATAAATATTTTGTCTATTTAATTTATGTTAGAGTATTGCGTGTTAAGCAAATAACGTTTAACTTTGACTAGTAAAGAATATTGCATTTAGCTAAAAATTCGTTTAGAAATGTAACTTTTATATGAGCATAATATATGATTTTTATAATTATAATATAATATTAGTCAATTAGCGTATAGGGTATTTAGCAGGAGTTTGTTTTAGCTTGAGTAGTTGTAGAATAATTTAACATAGCAGACCTATTATAGTGCACCTGCGCAGAGATTACATTTCACATTTGCTTGATTTGAAAAAAACATAGGATTTTACATTTCTATCCTAATTATATTATGTACGATAGATTTTTTTAAAAGGTGCTTCTCAAAAAATTAAGTACAGTAGGTAGTTACCCATATTTATGCTGATAAAAGATAAACACTGTCAAATTAAAAAGGAAATAAAACAAAATCTATTCCTAAAAAATAGTCTAGGCGAAAGAGGAAAATATTCTGATCTTACACAAAATTTTATACGTTATCAATTTTTGTTTTAAAACAAATGTGTAAGTAAACTCTGTGCGGTTTATTAATAACGTTTTTTATTAATTTACTTGTGACTAACACACAACTTACATATATAAAATTGCACTGTAGATTTGCTATCCCCTTATGTTCCAATTGCCATTTTCAACCCCATTTATTTAGAATAAAAAGATCACAGTTCAAATCATGAAAAACTGCGATTGACGAATAGAAATATTGTCTTTATTGTATATGAATAAAGTGCAAAATTGTATGATTCGTACTTCATACAGGTTTGCACTTTGTCAATGACTCACAAGTCGTGAGTGTGTTAGAACACACTTATTTAACTAATTATCGCATTTAGTATTCAATAGGCAACAATACACGCGCAATATGTCCTCCTTGAGTCTTACTTTGCGCACTTTCTGATTCCTTCAGAATCAATGTTCTACGTAAATTAAAGTAAGAATTTCATTTATCGATCATGCGAGCTTAAATACTATATTATAATTGATTTCGTGTGTATTAGAAAAGAAACAGTTTTTGCGAATCCTTTTTTAAAAAAAGGCCCACACAAATGGAAAAATATGAAAACATAGTGCTTCTCTACTATTTTTCAACAAATGACGGCGAAAATCTACTCGGCTAATATATTCAACCATATGTTCATAGGTTTATATATTGGCTGAAAATAAATTGCATAAATTGAAAAAAGATTTTCCGAAAACTTTTAAATACACGTTTTGTTGCACTGTTGGCGTCACTACCTGTCATTACATAATATAAAACAATACAAGTCGAGTCGTCTACTACCAGTCGCTAGTTTATAATAAAGTGTATTTTCTGTTTTAGTGGATATTACAATCCAAAGTACATTGGCGATTATTATTTATTTATATTCAGTTAAACGTTAAGTAACCTAAGCAATCAACAATTCTCTGACAACCGGCTAACACCTACGACGGTCTTTTATTGAATTGTCGTTAGTAACTGTATTATTTCAATGTTAGGTAGTTAAAGGTTCGGTTAGAAACCTTTGAGTATACTTTTTGGTGGGGTAATCGGCTTGCGTGGTTGCAGCCGGTGGTCTGTGCGTGGGTTCGTGCATTAAGCAGTGCGTCTGCGAGTCAGCCGCGTACTCGCTAGACGACTCCGTACCCGCACCAGCCCCACCGACGGACACGCGCAACGTTCACGGTACGGCGCCACGCCTCCTAGCCACCGGGGAATCGCAATTACAACATTAGCATTTGAATATAACTTCCTTTAATAAAGCTTGTAGCTTTGGAAAAGAGTCGTGATTAGTTACATCAGTTACTACTAGACGAAGGATATTGAACTTTAATTTATATTTTGTTAAGTTTTATAGTTACTTATTTGGACAAATTATACATTTTAAGTAACTTGTATTGTATAATTACATAGAGGCTTGGTAAGACAAAAAAGTATCGACTAATATTTTAGTATATCTGATAAAAAAAAAAATTTTTTTCTGATACTTTGAAGAATGAAAACTTCTTAGTTTTGAATAGAGCACGTACATTCCTTTGACAATAAACATGACTGAATTTATTACATAGTTGTATAGCGATTCGACCGGTGACGATGGAGTCAAAATTGTTTCGATGTATTCAAACGCTTGACATGCCGGTAGAGTTTTCGCCTCAGTCTGGGGTTATATAACCCACACTTTATGTATTAGCTCGTTCGCCTGTTTAATTCTTCCTCACTGAGATGTGTTAGTTGTACTCTATTCTGTCCGCAGCATCGCTACTGGGTTACGTGATTGACAAAAGTTTAACATTCATCTGTTTTTTTAATAAAAATAAAATAAAACTTGGGCTCTTAACTTTAAAACGCAATTTTCTTTGACTGCTTTGGTTGCTCTTTTCACATCATCATCAATGGAGCTTATATTAGCTATATTCGATAAACAAATTGTCTACAGTTTACAGTAATTGAAGGAATGTGGAACTTAAACATTAATGTATGTAGAACATAATAAAAAAAAACTTTTAGACGTTATGTTTAAAAGTGTTCGTGTAACGATAACATTTATTGATGTTTGTAATGTTATTATGAATATATGTGTATTGCATGATTACATCAGATGCGGCCTTTATTACGATTGTCAACGAATTTATCATGTTCTATTTTTTCTCTTTGTCTTGTTGATATTAAAATATAAAAAAATGTTTCATTGATAATTTCTAATATTTAACTACGCTAAAACCTAATATATTTCATCATTAATTAATTTCAATGACATTATTTGTTTTATTAATTCAAATAGGGAATCTGTTTAACATTTCTCGTTCATAAATGTATGTATTTGGCTTATATTATTGTCATACATCTAGGGTAATACGTTTGTTATTCTGCTTGCCATAAAGCATTATTCACACATATCAGTGACGTATCAATTCGGGCATAGTATTGGCATAAGTCCGTATCAGAGATAATTAATAATTCTTTCATAAATTCTCTGTGAACAGCGCTGACATTGACTGATGTCAGGCTACCGCAAAATGTCAAATTCCCTCAGTTGATTTTGAACTTCACCCTCAAAGCATTAAGGTTTAAAATCAAGCCGAGAAATTTGATAGTTTTGTAAAGTTTGACGTGCTGTTGACTGTACATGATGTCAGTGTCGGTGACGTGTCAGTGCTCTTTCCAGCCGGTAATCACTCATGTCGATGAATTTTCTTATCGGATCAATGCCATTTAGTAGACTGAAGGAAATGTTTGATTTTTTAGTTTATCCTTTGGATTTAAATTATTCTCCACACTCACATTTCACACTTAATAGTTTGGCAATTATCTATTTTCCGTTACAAGGACTGACGCATCGCTGAAGTCAATTTTTGTACCTGTCTATGTAGGCCATATTTTTACAAATCCAGCTTTTCTCACATTAAAATTTTAGAATCAAATATACTAACATATTTATATTTATGTATGCGGATATGTGTATAGCATTGAAATGTATACTGTTGAGGTTCAGATCATTGAAATTGTGAATGGTGCTGATGCTGATGCTGTTTATATTAAAAAACAACTCGCAAGTTATACTAATGAGAAATATGCCCATAAGTGACTTTCAAGCTTTTAAGCGTGTGATTGCTCAGAAATTGCATGTTTGCTACTGGTGATGAGGCGAGGAATGATTTGTGGTGATGGTTGGATTTTGCCGTCATAGTTTTTGTCTAGAGCACTGATAAATATAGATTGTCACTTGAATTCAATTAAGTATTGCAACATTTGTTATGGTTGGCACAATACAACGTTGTATGCAGATAGTAGACATTTTGTGATAAATATTGATATAAAGTGGAAATCATTCAAATTCAGTGTGCTCTATGCAAATCTAGGAACATTTCACGAACTTTACTCGAAGATATGGTAATATAAAACTAACGATCGTCATCCTTTATTTATGCCATATCTTTGATAGTGTACTTTAACAATTATGAGCGATGGTTAGTCGAAAGGTATTGAGTAAATAGTCTTAATTATATTGATCATACACTAGAAATTAAAGGTGACAACTTAAAGTCTGCAAAACACTGTAAATTATTCAGAAACCTTCCACATAATCATAGCATTTTAACACTAAATACCACTGGATGTCGTTCGACCCCTATCATCGCTCGCTCTCATCTTAACCCCCCATCGCACCGGGTGACGCTTGGTGCCATGTGTTTACGTGTCGCTTCTCATTGTCTTCAGCGGAAAACCAACCTCCGAATAACAACTCATTAAGTAGTGATAGCGCGGGCGTGGGGCGGGTGATAAAGCACCACCGGACGGTGTCGCTGCCGGCCGGCTGCGGGGTGACGCTTGAGACTACGCGAGCGGCGCACGAGCGGACCCGTTCCGCCCCCCTAGCCGGCGATCACTCCGCCCCCATGTCTGCCCCCGCCCCTACTACCGCCCCCGCCCCCGCGCCCGCGCCCGCTACCGGCCCCTGGCCGCGTCGTGCCAGCACCGGCGCCCGGCTCTCGAAGCTATCGCCCGCCCACACCAAGAGTACGTATCGGTAGCGAGCGCGATCACGCCGCGTGTGCTCTATATATTATATAGGTGTTACCGACATTAGCGATCGAATGGTAGGCGTAGAGGGCGTAAATGTTTTTACAGTTAGATACACTTCACGATACTTCCATTACGTAATGCACAGATATTTCAAATTTGTTCTTTCACTTTACAGGTCTGGATTCTGTTAATATTTATAAAAATCTACGATGTGTAGATTCAATTCAAAACTAGTTTTTAATTAAACGATTAGTTTATGTGGTTATTTAACTTTTAATGATAATGTTACAGATTTGTCCATTGTCGAACACTTAAATTATATACTGAATATAAATATATTGATCATTAATCTGAAATACTTTATCTTTATATATCGTGGGCGGAGTAGACTATAGACTAAATATAGATAATAATATAGTTTTCTTTCCATAAAAAAAATAATATATATATATATATATCCAATAATTGTATCGATAAAATAACTACTTTTAGACTGGAAATATGTAGAGAATATTTATCGATAAAAATAACAATCGACAATCAGATTTTCATCAATTTTAATGTATAACGTTTAAACTTAGTGGTCCAGTTAAATGCACATTCATCAGTGTAACACATCCCTAATAATCACTTTGTAAAAAAATGTTTGGGCTTTGTGTGCTCTTGACTGTTATTTAACATAAAAATACTAATGTGGGCTTATCATATTCACTCACTTTTTCTTCACGGGACACTCAATTTTGATTTTTTTTGTTTGGTGCTTGTTGTTTTTAGCATGTTGTTAATTTAGTGTTAACATTCTATTCCTTTGCTTGCGTATATTAAAGTATAAAATTGCTTTGTTAATGTTGTTTTATTAAATGTCATATTAATAGCTTTGCTTTTAATTGTTTTGTTATATGATAATGTCCAGTGCTGAATAAATGCTTTATCAAAAAATAAATGTCAACATTTGACTATATGTCAATACGTAACGGATTTATTAATTTCGACGATCAATAGATGTCATTTTTTCTAATAAAACATATTCTAATTAGAACACTACTGCCATTGAAATCCGTGATGTTCAACTTTTTTTTTCATTTCCCTTATTATTACAAACACGAGAGATTAAAGAAATATAGCTTTTATTCAAATTTTATAAAAAGAGAAAATAAATCCGTAAAGTAATTAAAAACTAGCTTAGAGATAGATGAATTCTAAAATCTTGGCAAGTTTTCTGTATAGCAGCATGTGAGAAGATTCAATTGTCCACAGACGCTGGTCCTTTACGTACACGGAGCGACAGCATGCCCTCAAGAGCTTGCTCTTCATTCGAAGTGGAGAGGCCATCACCCAGACATAATGACCTTGAAGGTGAGATATTGGACTAATGATCGGTCAACGTAAACCCAGTATTTTATTTTAAACAGTATAAAGGTACACACGGCTGCATGTCAAGCTACCAAAATATGTCAAATTTCTCCACTTGATTTTAAACTACCTTTAAAAACATTAAGATTTAAAATGAAGTGTAGAAATGTGACTGATTATAACCTGATGTGCTGTCGGCTGTACATTTAGATTGCTTATATACAATTTTAATCTGTGTATAAGAAGTTATTACGCAATAATAACCCTAAGCGTGTATGTTTATATTGATATTACTTAACGATTCGATGTTAAAAAGTTATAAAAAGCTTTCATTACCATAGGGGTATAATTGTTTATAATAATGTTGTCAAAAACTTATGACTCATGACTACATTATTATTAACAATTACAATTTATACTGTAAATTTAAATAGAGATAGCACAATAGAATAGCACGTCTCGAGTAGCAAAAGAGTTCAATTGTGTACCACAAAACTTTTGGATTTTGTGTAAATTGTTGAATATAGATAAGTTTTATTCAACCAAAGAAAAACAAAATAAAGCAGATAAACAGGTAACTATGAAATACTAATGAGACAGGCGGTACGTGGAGTTTATTCTTTATCTATGAAGTAATATAATTCAACACACTTCATTCATTCATTATTTTATATCAACAGACAACTTTAAAAATAGACCTTAAGAACTTTGAAATAAGGTTCTGATTTCCAGTCTAAACTAATGAAATATTAAAATGAGGTTTCTGGGTAGAAAAATTTATTATCAGTCAACATAATTTTACTATTAGGCTACTATTAAATAAAATCATTAGATTTCTAACGATTATTCGAGAATAATTATTTAATGCCTTCACGATGCAGAGACCTCATGGGCCGGGGTGCCGAGCGGTCACGTATTTCTCATTATAGTGACCACCGCGGTTAGACGAAGCGAAAAATTGTCGGCCACCGCTTTATTCTGTAGTCGAAAAGAAATAAATATTGTGGTGTAGTCGAAAGAGTTGGATTTGATATAAGTGAAAACAAGTACGTGTTGCCAACGCAGCAGCCGCAAGAAAATTAATGCCTCGTCTGAACGCGCTCGTAAGCGCCTGGTACGCTACGTTTTAAAGTTAGATGGTCTTCTGACCCCACTAACATCAAATTAAATCGCCAAGGTACTACATAGACCTTGAAATTAAATTGGATGACTACCTCAACATGTCCGTTACAGTATAAAACCATATTCCGAGTCAACAGCACATCAGAAAAAATTAAAATACTCCGGTTTATAGTTTGACCTATTAAAAATAAAAATCAATAATGATTCCGGAGATTTGAAATTTGTGTTAACCTGATGCGTTGCTGTGGGTACTTCCTTTCCATTACATAATTCGGCTCGGTCGGGTAAGTAATTTTATGTTTTTTATTTAAAAAAAGTGTTATATTCTTAAATAATTAGTATATATATTTGCAATGATTGCCGACTGCGCGACTTTTAATTTTAATTAAAATATAAGTTTATGTAAAAAAGAAGGTAATTAGACTATAAACAAAGATAAATAAAATTTCATATGATCGTAAAGCGAATAAATATATCTACTTCGTCGTTGGTCATTTGGCTGATTAAAATTAAGCATTATATTTATAATGTAATTCACCTTTCTTTTTTTACAGATCTGCATAGCAAATGGAAGTTTATTAAGGACACCTTTAAACAAGATTACCGAGGATCTAGTAATCAAATGGCATTTGGCACCCAAAGGAATTGCATGTCTTCAGATTCTATTCTAGTGTTGCTTCCTATAAAAGAAGATGTTTCTCTTATCGATTCTTCTATCTCCACACCTTGTTATCAATTGAGTGAAAGAAACAAAAAATGTTTAATTAACGTTCAAAGCCCTGTTATGCCTGCTCCGATGCAAAATGAACTACCAATAGAACATATTGACGAAGATGATGTATTTGGGTTCACGATGGCGCAGATGTTAAAAAAGTTGCAAACAGAACAGAAGCACTTTGCTAAAGTTGAGATTTTAAATGTAATGAATAGAGCCAGAGATCATAACGCGACATCGGGTGTTGTATGTGCTGATACGCACCCTGTTGGACTGTGTACGTCGAACGATCGGTCTTTTAGAAAGATGACGACGTCTCTCACCGGCTCCGTCCCATCTCATTCGTCCATTGATAACCAATACTTTACAGAACAAAATTTTTTTGACGTGACTTCTAAGAAATAATAATGTAATAATTATTCATAATTTAATTACATGTACCTATCAAAAATGTTTTCAAAATATTTGATCTATTAAAACTTTAATTAAAAATATTTTCTATCTTCATATTTACGTTTATTGAGATCTGTTGCTATTTGTGTAGACAATACTTTTTTCTACATGCCAATTTAACAGATGTATTTTATGTCATTTTCATATTATTAAAAGGTATTACAATTAAAATAAAATAGACAAGAATTGACTGGGACGGACATCTTTGCTCAATCGTTTAAATAATCTATAATCAGCCACAAAACGTTTTAAAAATAATAAATAAAATTTCTCAAAGTTATTAATTATGGAATGTATTCTACTCTAAAGAAAATATATCTTTACAAAGGTATGTCTTGATTATGTATTTAACTAGAGTCAAAGTACACAATTAAATCTGATCCAGGTATAAAACAAATAAAATAAAATTAGTAAATCTTCATATAACCGAAAATCGAAACCATTTTGTCCATTCAATACAGTAAGTATTGAGATATGGGACAGATAACCTGGCTAAAATAAATATGTAGAGACATCAACAGTTTAAATATCCGTGTCCACGACAAACTGATGTATATAAATTTTAATCGTGCTAAGGTGCAATATGTTTGGCAGCAGGGTTGGATATGTCGCGGGACGAAATTGACTCGACGGCGGATTGGTATCGGACGCCACGAATACCGGAGGAGCCCGACCTGTGTGACGTCTCCAGGGACTTCATCAGGTAAACTAAACTGTACAACCAATAAAAAAATACTGTGATTATTATTATTTTTTTTTTATTAGATAAACTATAACTATTTAATAATTATTACTTTACACTATAATTATGCACTTGTAAACTTAGACGGAGCTAAAGGGAGACATTTAGGTCATTGTCAGTTTATGAAAACAAGGTTATTTTTCTGCTATGCATTTTTTAGTGAAATAGGCGAATTATCAATTATTTATTATCACTTTTTATTGCGGTAAAATATGGTTTAAAACCCTGTGGTAATTATATATAAATAGAACATTATATTTTCGTAATACCTGTGACGCAATATGTAGTATTAATAAAGGAAATCTCCTCTAAGAGGTCGAATGAGGTTTGTTTTTGAATATTTATATTGTAAATTGGCGGGAACATGTGTTTGTTTGTACTCGTATCACGCCACAACGGAGCGTTGCTAAGGTATGATGCTTTTGCGGGTTTGGGAGGCTGGCGTAGACAATAATTAATATCACTCGCCATTATTTATAGACAAAATGAAACCGTAACGAAACCATATTAAATGGGAAAATCTTCCAGCTCCGGTGGTCGAGTAGGCGGCCCAGTAGGTTCCGTACAACACTCGCGTACATCATCCATGGGCACGGAAGATGCAGCGGCCGATGGGTATCTACCCATGGCACCCGGACATGAACCTTTACCCGCGCTCATGTCTGCGTCTAGCGGTTCCGTGTGCAGCGGCACCCCCTCCACAGATCCCCGCTTCAGGTATCAAGAATAGTAAAAATTACTTTATTTATAATTTGGTACAGTGATTCAAGTACCTACAAAGGTATTAAATACATAATATCTGCAGGTAATAAAAACTTGAACCATCGACTCTCCGAGGTCTCCTACCCACCGAATTAGAATACACAGAATAATACAGTAGCGAAACGGTCAAAATCATGTGCATCTCTGTGTGCACATGATTTTGACGCATTTTTGTGAATTCTTAGGTCTAGATGTGAGCTCAGTTAAGCTTGACATGGCAAGACTGCTAGACGTACGGAGAGTGAGCGATCTTAATAAAAATAACATGAAAATATTGTGCTGTATACGGATGTTTAAATTCGACGTTTTCAAACACGGACCTCTCGTTTTTTAAAATTACCTAGTGATATTGAAAGAAAAAAATATTTTTTTATAGTTATAATCAATATTAATCACAGATGTGTTAGAAGTTAGAATGTTACTATATTATGGCAGTTGTCAAATATGTTTACATACATTCTATAATTTCGTATTTCTAATTGGTTTAAAAAAAGAAATGATATATTTAACTTATAATCCTAACAACAATGTTAGGATTATGAGTTCAGAACATAATCAACTAGATCTTGAAGGAATGTGCCGAACGCCACATTGATAGTGAAATTATGAAGAAATATACAATGCTCTACTCCTGCTATCCATAATTTCTATTTTCATATGACGTCACGCGGGTGACAAGGTTCCAGTGCATTAGCAATTTTACACCAATTTTAATGTGTTTTACAATTAGACAGTTTATTTTTGCTTTGATGATAGATCGGTACATGTACGTTCGTTTATTTGTTAACATAGCGAATACCAGTTGGAGCCGGCGACGTCGCACATTGTGGAGGGGGGTACGAGACCGCCGCGCGCGTGGAGTGTCGGCTCTCGCGCCGCACTCGGCACCACAGTCGCGGGGGAGGGACGTCATCGAGCATACAGGTATGTGCCGATACTACTAATAACAATACGATCGGGTTACCTGTTATTTTAGTACTGACCAATAGCTCGCGCTCATCCCCTGCCGCCCTCTGTACCTCATCACTGCACATACCCAAAATAATAGTTCAATCCCCACTGTATTTCAACTTGAGTCCGACTACTGTACTTATCATCATTGTAAAAGAATGGGTGGATTTACAGTTTTATTTAATCGATAGTCTCTTGTCAAGAAGATTTTTAGATTTAATTCTTTTTTTTCGTTAGAAATTTGAAAAGAATCATACTCTTTATTGCACTCACAATTTTACATAAAGCCAAGCAAGTCAATTTGATACAAGGGTGGGTTTATATATTTTTAAATAAAATACAAATTTAAAACACTGAGAGATTTCAAGTGTGGCGTATTTTCATGAATAACTTTAATAAAATTGTATAATTTTGATATGCGCGATTTACGGGACGAAATGCAATTATTAGAATTTAAAGGACTACTAGCATATATATACTCCTGTACCTAAGTATATATACTTATGCCAGCAGTTGCTGTCAAAATTATTTGTGGAAATTTACTTTTTAACAGACTGTATTTCTTTATTTTTTGTAGTTTTTTTTTGTATGTACACATTTTATTAGTGATTTGTAAAAAAACGGTAATCGTTTAAAGAATTGCAAAAACTTGGCAACACAGTAAATGTCAATGTTGTACCTGAGATTAAAAACAGACTAGTTTATTGAAATGTGACGTCACACGATGCTCCGTCATGACCGCGCCCGCGTTTCGGTTCTTGTTATCCGCAGAAATCGTAAGTTAATATTGTAAACATAAAATAAAGTACAATTTATTTTTAAACAAAAAGTACTAAATAGTCTTTGTTTACATATAAATTACCATTTTCATTATAGTCAATAGTTTATTGTTATAACTGTCAAGTAACTAATTAATGGCAGACGTACCACATGCATTGATTATGGAAAAATAACCATAGAAAAATGCGACAATATTCATACAAAACGAGTCCTGAAATTTTATGATAGTAACGGCTTTATGATATAGTGTGGGCGCCCGGTGTCGTCCATCATCGTCAACCCCTCGAGCACCGGCATCTGCACCGCTATTACCGAGGGCTTCTGCAGAAGACCTCATGGAACTAGACTTCTCTTCCAACTGTTCACCACAACCGAAGGTAATATGACGAACACACATTACTCTTATCACACAACCCATCGAAAAAAATGTGAAAATACGACCTTAATTTATTAAAAATTAAGGAAATGTTTAATGTATAATATGCTGTTTACCGTGTCTGTGAATTATACACATAATAAATATTTTTGCCGATACTTATTAAAAAATATTATTTTGATTACTAAAACACATATTGCTGTGTCAACACGTTGAAAGTTGTTATATTCCACTTCATGGCTTAGGTCGACAATCCTGCCTGTATATCCTATAAAACTCGATTGTAATGACATTGTATATCCAATTTACAGGTAATAGTTGCGAGAACGCCACCCACCGCTGGATTCGCCGAGCCACGTTCGCGTGCGAACACCGACGAATACGTAGACATGTCCCCCCGCACTGCCTTCCTGCCCCCACCACCTGTACCTATTGCCATTCCTATCCCTACTCCTACTGCTGCTCCCGTGCAACCCGCATCCCATCCGCCTCCGCCCGACGGTTACGTAGAGATGAACTACACGCGAGCCCCATCAAGGCCGATCGATATAGCGTCAAAACCTTCCACCGCCCCCGTACCTCATACCTCACCTCCTAGATTAGCGATGTCTTCCAAAACCCCCCTCGGATCACAGACTATATTTCCGATATCATTGGAATCGCCCGCATCACCGCCAGAATTGGACGATACTGATGTATTCGACGAAGACGCCAAAGGTACTATGTTTATTTATTATTTTTAACTGTACTCTAGGTGTAAGGTAAGTTTTAGTGATCATAGTTCCGTTAAACTTCTGAATAATTCTCTACCTGCTGTGTCACTTATACAACTTCACAGTAAAGGTGAGTGATGAGGTCTCAATAACAGAAATGCGAGATCACAAAGTAACAACATTAAAACCATTATAACGTTAAATAATTTTAATGTAGACAAAATTTAGAAAATAAAAAACAAAATTAAATCTCATCAACAAGATTAGATTCTGTAGTAATAAACAAGAATATTGATTCCCTAATTCATATAGTGTATTTTTACATAGGTACAATACATATAAATTTTATTTATGACTGAACACGAGTTCCATCTACCCAATGACACAAGATTTTACTGTTTTTAATAATCCAAATAAAAAAAATATATGAAATTAAAACATCAATATTAGAAAAAAATATTTAAAATGAAGACAGAGGGAACTTCAATCTAAACATTTGATCACGTAGTATAATTCCATTACTGCGTTCAGCTACATCATTAATGTCTTCCCATCAATCCTGAATAACATTTATTTTACATATAAATAACCGGAGAAACCGAATTTGTTACCGTCGCGTTCTCATCTCATTTCGAAACATCTCTATTGATAAGACTCCTGGCGATGGAACAAACACCGAGTGCGACCGGCTAGCGTTGCCCGTTCTCTGTCGTCAACGTCGGCAAAGAGGGATGGCTCGTTAGGGTCGCAGACGATATTCTCGCTCTCCCCAGATTCGCCAGCTAACTGCAATCACACCAGAGACGCTAAAGGTAAATCTCCTTTTTATAGTAATGTGTATTTCGCTGTACGTCACGTCACAATGTCCATTGAAAATAAATATAAATACTGCTTTGGTTGCACTATTTAATCAAATATATAAAATAAATAGTAAAAACCCTAACTTGGTCATGTATTAATACTAAGTATAATCTGTAAAATTAAATCAAAACATGGCTAAGGGAGGTTAAGGTTGTAATTTCGGGTTCATGTGTACAAATTATACAGCCTCTCCGGGCTTATATTGTGAATGACTTGAGCTCTTAAATATTTTGATTTTTTATAACATATATATAAATATGGATTTGTAATAATAAATATATCCAAATCCATATTTTTTAACTCTCACTTAAATGTAAAGTTTTATCGTTTAGCTCCGTGCAGCGAAATCGCATGGCAGAAAAAGACTTGAAATATCAAGGTCCAGGTGGAATACTCTTCACACGTTTGCACTATGTAGATTAGACGTCACACACGGTTGTATGTACTCTTTAATTTGTGATAAGCGTCTTTATTGTGATTTGAAGTGATATAGCCTAAAATTGCTGATTCGTGCAACTTTTTCGTGATTCTGTGTTGGGTCAGTCTTGTTTTATTGTTATACTTTCACTATAACGCCACACATAGTGTGAAGGAAAAAGCAAGATTGTTGCTTCTTCTACTATATTATGTCGATTCTATTTAAGGTGGTGGTAATCATTATTTTTACTTTTAATATGCAGCTTTATACTCTTATTAATCTACATATATGAAAGCAAAAGGTCACTCACTCATCACGAAAGCTCAGAAACTACAAGTGCTAGGAGTTTCAAATTTTGCATGCAGGTTCTTTTTAGGACGTAGGTACTCACTGAGACGGGATATTATGAAATTCAACCCCTAGGAGAGTAAATTAGGGGATGAAAGTTTGTATGAAATTTTCTCATTTTTGAACTTAAAACTTTATCACGTGGGCGAAGCTGCTGGCGGAAGGCTTGTTTTGTTTTTATAAAATTGTCTTTTCTATTTCATATTTTTTATTAAAATAAATAATTTACTATTAACTAAAAATGCAATAGAGTATACATCTGTACGGTAACCTAACCTAACCCAACCTTAAAGGTTTTCCTGTACCACCGATTCGCACTCGATCCGTTTATTTCACTTTTACTAATAGCATTACGTTTGAGTAATTTGAATTTACCGCATTTTTATGCATTATTCAATGGTGATTTTTTTTCCACGAAAAAGAAATTATATTCATGGAAAAAATATATAGAACCCCTTTTTAATCAGAATTATATTCCCCATTATAAATGAATATGGACAATTTCAGTGATGGACATTGCGCATATATTATATTATTATGGGTATGTTCCGATATACACTGCGAGCACTGCGCAGTGGTCTTACTGCTAAAAAATCCGTTCCGTTATGGACTGCCAGTACACTGCTACAGTACCCTAGGGAAATTTATGACGTCATAAATTGCCGCCATATTTCTACTGTGAGCACTGGAGATTTCGAGGTAAGGTGCTCGCAGTGCTTTTGATCACGTGATCAGTCGAAACAGAATCAGAAAATGATGTTTCTAAATAAACAAAAAAAAAATACTTACGTTTATTTATAATATGGATTTAATTGATAAATATTTTTTTTATACAATTTTCCAATTGTCTTTTTAAAAGACGGAATCTTTATATTTATATTCACCTTGCATTAACTTTGAAAATGGCGCCAAAAAATAGGATTAACAGTATACTGGACTGCGTTCCGTTTTAAAAAGTCACCAGTATAACTAGCTATAAAGGAACGGGCTTACTAAATTGACGTCATACTGTTCAGTCACAGTATAAGTATGACACAGTATAGAAACTAAGCCTATTTGATCACATAAATACCTACGCTCCATTGAAACCATAGGGTTGTCATTTTGAATGTTTTAGACATTGTTATTTTTACAAAATATAAAAGTAGTTTTTACATTAATCAATCGAATATTACAATTCGATTGATTAATAATGTAAAAACTCCTTAACAAACAAAAAATATACATACACATTTGTTCAGACGGTGATATCTACTTATATTATTCTATATCACCACATGATAAAGAATAACATATGCGAAAACTGGGCAGTTCTGGAAATATATCATACGCACAGGTCAAGTGTATACGAGAAATAGTTTAATATTGACATATTGACTTGTACAAGTTTTGACGGACACATAGCCGAAGAGCGCACGAAACGTCCAACGTTTCGTGCTCTCTTTGAATCGGACGCGTGGTAGGTAGGCACTGCATTTAGGTGGCGCGCTCATGAGCGGCTGTTTTTGGGTGTTTATCAAGCATTTTCGGGTGGGACCGTACTACATTTCAACCTGAAAATATGCATGATACTGAAACGGGTATTTAAAAAAACATCTAAATCTAAAAAAAAAACTTATTTTTTATTTCACATAAGCCTACTCCTTTCCTTATTCTTTCCTTCATTTATTAAGTAAAAACGATCGCGGAACATGTAACGTGACCCCTCGTCTCGACGCGATACGCGTTACTGAGCGTCCTGTTAGGTCCACTTAGGCGGCTCGTCGGTGAGCGTGTTTATGTGTGCGTGCGATTTCGAACGCTTGTAGGCAGTTTCACCACTGTATACTTATATTTACACTGTGGTTCAGTGGTCGCAGTGTATATCGGAACATACCCTATATTTACACGGCGCGAAGACTCGTGTGGCCGCTGCATACTTATATTCATAGCAAATTTAAACTCTATTGACATGCCAACATCATTTAAATTTCTCACGACTAGCGAGACGCCAGCGCGAAGGCCGCGTTGCTTACGCGTGCCTGTTTTTATTTGTACCAAATATCAACTCTATCAACCACCTACTGAATGCCTCTCAAGTTGCACGAATAAGCATTAACCATGTAGGTTATTTGCACATATTTGAATCAAATATGAACTTTATAGTGTCCGATTATATTTAAATTAACTGTCACACATAAAAGTATTGTAAGGATTAAGTCGTATCTCTTTAATTGCAAATATGTAGATTATTAAATGAACTTTAAAATTGTTTTAGTTACTACATCGTATCATACCATGACCGTGATTGGAACGGGGCAGGTAAAAACATATGCTTTGCATTATTCAGTAGTACAAGACCACAGCCATTTGACCGTTCTGTTACAGACCAAGAGCGTGTCGTGCAAGAGAAGAATTATTATGTATTTTGTGAACGGGTATTTAACAGGCATACTACGCGGTTGTTTCGATAGAGTGGGCTTATTAGACTGCTATTTGTTCTTACGCTTGATACTTTCTTAGCACGATCATGGTATGACTCTGTTATGGAAAATGATAATCACGAAGATTCGTTCAGAACCCGCACCAAATTCTTTCATATTTCTTACATATCTTCTGTAAATATATAAAAGTAAAAAAGACGTAGTTCTTACAATTTTTAAAAACGAATGATTATACAGTGGCATAGTTATGTCTACCTATAGCAAAAGCCTGTGCTGCAATAGGTAGGCAACTTAATAAATTGATAGTAACGATGTGTCTCAAATTGTCATTGTATTGCAGACGAGCCGTTAGTGCATCCTCTGACGACAGTTAGGGAGATCTCCGAAGAGGGGGGGAGACGAAGCCCTGAGTGTGGGGTGTCAAGTTCGCCACAGTACGTCCGCCTGGCCGCAAACCCAACCGCTAACAAGACACTCGCTAGACCACTAGAAACCACGCGGGGTGAGTAGTTAACCCGGATCCTTTCCAACTTTTCTATTCTGTGTAACACACCAGTGGCGAATATGCGGGTAATTTTTTTTATTGGGCAGTTAGTCTTATCGATATTTTAATATTTGGTTGGGGAAAGTCTTTTTGCATATAGTGTGCATTAACTTGTAATAAAATCTTCTGGCTATACTATTTGTATCTGACTGGTTTCGGTATCATTAAAATGTTTAAATTTTGAAGAAGATAACTTTGAATTCAAATTAGGTAAATAAAAAAAATGATTTTCTTGGTGTCAAAATGAATGAATCTAATCTAATCGTAATGAAACCGAACCATTTTTTAAAAAAGGTGATAACTGGTGATGAAAAGTGTACATGTACGACAAGAACCTGCGAAAAAGGTCTGTCAAAGTTCAGTCCGACTTCTGTGTGTATGGTGGGATTAAAAGGGCATTATTCATTATGAGCTGTTAAAAAAAAGCAAGTTGATTAATCAATAGAAGGGGTGTGGTTTTTCATCATGATAGCGCTAGACCTCACATATTTTTTGCCATTTAGCAAAAATGAAGAGAGTTTGGTTCAGATTTCCACCTGTTTCGGTCTTTTCAGAATTTTTTTTACAGTGTCAGGTTAACATCCAAACTACCAAATTCTCTTGTCGCGGTTTTTTGATCAGAAGC